GCTCATGGTGCTGTCCAACCACGACATGCCCAAGAATTCGAGCGTCATGGTAGAGATCATGGCTCATTGTCTGTCACGGCTGAGTTCAACCTGCCGCCTAGCAGACGTCTCTCTGCACGTCCAATCGGACAATACAGTGAGAGAGATGAAAAATAATCCGTTTATCAAGTGGATGGCAGCCATGACTGGGCAAGGCTAGGGCTAGGGCAAGGGTCAATGTGTTTGCGAGTTGTTGCCGCAGATCTCTCTGGTAAACATGACCATGGTTCTTCAGTCAAGTTGAAAGCTGATTCATGAGAGGAGTGGTGCGGGAGGCATCATTGCAAAACTTGAGAAGCGGCCACTCTCACGAAGATGTTGATCAGCTGTTCGGCAGCTGTGCGACCTATTTGGCGAGCAAAGGACGGCATGCAGAGACGCCAGAAGACCTCCTCAAGTTGCTGGAGGCGTTCCTTCGCAACCTGCCGCGACCGCACGAAGCCGGAAGGTTTGTGGTGAAACTCGACGGTGCTCGCGACTGGCAGCTCAGATTCTATTGTTGAGATTTGTTCTTGGGCACTGTTCGAGTGGCTTTTGGCTGCTATGCTCTCAAATGATCTGAGGAAGGGCTTTCTTTCTGAGGGAGTGCCAGTGATGATTCAAGGGCTGCAAGGCCCAGGTGCCCCACACGTCTGGCAGCTGACCAGGAGAGAGCATCTCAGTTTAGCTCCCAGTTTCTGAGATCTGATGCACGTGACTCGTCATGTTACACATTTGAACACTGACTTTGTGGTCTGAGGCCCGGCTGACTTGAGCCTGGTGGACGAACGGTACTGGCGACATGTGGAACAACTCCCACAAGATGTCATTCTGCGGTGTGCTGCCATGAGATTTAGGACTTGTTATTGTATGCACTGAATCTGTCAAATTGCTTGATTGTTTGTCTTGAACTTCTCAGCTGCCATTAGTAGTCATCATCTCAGGTGCAAGCAGTACATGGCAGACAAAGATTACACAAGGGCTTTGAATTACTTGCCACGGCGTGTCGCTTTGGTGCGGCTGCCTCGCGGCCTACCTGCTGGTTTCTCTTCTGAGAACCAAGTTCTAATCTAAGCCGTTGTGATGTGTGTCCATGATGTGCTACTAACTACTAGACTAGTAGTATACTAACTATTTGTGCTCATTGATTGCACTGGCTGCGAGGTCTTGTGGAGCGGAACCCCATTCCTGACGACTATAAAGATCACCTACGGAAGTTTCTTGGAACTCTCAGAGGATATGGCTTGACTCGCGCAGCCGACTTCTTGGAAGCATTCGTAGAGGAAAGGTTGGATTTCAAGCCGCTCTTGGATGTAAGTGCGATGCTTGTCTGACACGGAGCAGTCAATCTTATCTGGCAAACCACATTGGCGATCGTAGTTGTGGGTCAAACTTGACTTCTATCACATGCCAGCCAAGGTGCATGTTGGTCAGTGGACCCCGTGGTGTCAATCGGGATGGGCCTGCCAACCGGTCTTTTGAACCTTCTGCAAATGTTATCCGGTGCCTGTGACACAACATAAGACTTGGCTAGACGTTCCGTGCAACTCTGCTGCTGTGACAAGTAACTGCACTTAATTAATAAGTTGTGATGCTTGTTCAAACGAGGCTGGCTCGTGGTCCTGGAGAAGCCCAGGCTGGCCGGCAGTACGTGGAGCGTGCGAGGAGACGAATGATCTTGGAGTCGGCAGCATCTGCCTGGGCCAGGGGTGTTCCGTGGGCTGAGGCCCTGAAAGTTTCTGATTTGGCCATTACCCGGGCCAGGGCAATTGTGAAGCCGTTGCCAAAAGTCAAAGCACGGCCAAAGGCCAAAGCGAAGTCAGCTGCTGCTAGGTGATGTTCTTGTTTCCTACAGAGAACTATCTTGTGATTATAACGAACTATTGAATAATATCTAAGGCACACATGTCAGCCAGTTGCTCGTGTGTGTGTGTGTGTGTGAGAGAGAGACATATCAGCATTCTGCTGACAGTCGAGTTCTGATTCTTGCACAGTGCTTGAAGCAGCGTGCATGCAAACTTCACGGTAACGTTCGAGGTGTGCAAAAAATGCCTTGAGACAGCTTCGAAGTTTTTTGTGCTCCTGCGAAACACAGCAACAGTCTCCCTTTTTTCAAGGATTTGACACTGGAAATTCACACCAAAACCCTTTAAATTTTTTTTTTCAGTGAAATGCAAAAAAATTGGGGTGCGGCATGGACATTAACGGGCCCGTCCCGGTGTTGGGGGTGAAAAAAAAATTTCGGCTCAGCTGGGATTCCTCGATGACTTTGTTGTGACCCAGAGCAGATCTAGTATCCAATTCAAGGTCGGAACGGACAAAAACTCGATGTTGAACTTGAAGTTGGCACTTGCCTGCAAAACATGACACAGAGCATCCAAGCCCAACCCGGGAGTTAGTGTCCAATCCCACCCCGGATTGGACACTAACTCCTGCCTGGTCCTGGGGAGTGTCCCGGCAAACGGCGCTCGGATCCGACACTAACTCCTGCCCTGTCCTGGGCCAGAGTTAGTGTCCAATCCGAGGTCGGATCCGACACTAACTCTGTGCTGAACTCGAACTTGGCACTTGCCTGCAAAGCACAACAGAGAGCATTCCAAGCCCAACCCAGGAGTTAGTGTCGGATCCGACCTCGGATTGGACACTAACTCCTGCCGTGCCCTGGGCCCGAGTTAGTGTCCAATATGGGGTGGTGGGTGTCTCGGGGTCATTTGCCGTTCCACATAAGATTCAATATTCCCAGTCCAGCTTAGGAGTTAGTGTCAGATCCATTAACTCCTGCCCAGGTGCCAAGGCCCGAGTTAGTGTCCAATTTGGGGCGGTGGGTGTCTCGGGGGAGTGGGAGGTCATTACTGCGTTAAATATCAGTATTCCAAGCCCCACTGAGTTGAAGTAGGTGACGTATCTGTCCTGGGTTTGGACTTCACCCTTGGGCCTGATTCTGAGTTTGTGTCCAATCTGGGGTGGCGGGTGTCTTTGGGTTGAGGGAGGTCTTTAACTTTGCTGCTCTATAGAATAATTCTAGAGTGCTGGATAATATTTATAGAAGAGAGTATTTATGTACTTGTTTTTTATAATCAAATAGATAGTCATATAGAATATTGATCTACACAGGGGCTGTCTAGTCGGGGTTCCCGTCCCAGTGTATCCCGGACCTGCCGAGCCCATCCGGGAGCCATCCCAGATCTGTCCAAGATCAGCCCGCATACCCATTACAGCCCCCTTGTCCTCCCCTCCCCTCGCCCCACCCTCCCATAAGAAGGCTACCAGCCACCCAAACCAGAGAACTTCTCGTTTGGTTGTGGTTTATTTACAACAATGACATAATGACTGGCCAAGCAACCTGTAAACCCTGTCCTGTGTCCAGACCATGGGTTTCCCCTCCCCTCGGCCACACCCTCCCATAAGAAGGCTACAAGCCACCAAAGGAGAGAACTTCTCGTTTAAGACACGAAATGTCATGTAGTAGTTTAGTAGATTCAATAACAATGAACCACAGTCGCACTGTCGAGATCCTCTTCAGACCCCACTTCCCAGAACCCCCTCCCCAATATATCCGGCTTCCACATCATGTCATTTTAGTCCACTTTCAGACCACCCCCCCTCCACTCAAGGGTCCCCGCCTAGAGGCCAAAGCACTCCATCTTGGCATTGGCCTGTGCATCATTGACGTCTGTGCAGATTTTCCAGGCTTTTAAGGGCTGATATTTAGCTGGATTGACAACATGGCAGCAGCAGCTCAGCTGCCGAAGAAGCGGCGGTCAGGGGGTGGCGGAGCCTCAGCACCAAAGGCCAAGGCGAAGCTTGGCCCACAGGACGAAGTCGCGGAACACGTTGGCAAGCTGATCACCTGGCTTCTAGACTCAACAATGCTGCTAAGGTCTGCAGCCCAATTTTAATGACAGTGTAACAAGTCAAGTGTTAGAATCCCTTTTGTTATCGCGAGGCTTCGGGAACAAGTGATGCCAGCTGGCGGGCCAGAACGATACCTTCGAAAGCGCTACAAGTCTGAGGTCAGTGCCCATGTCTGGTTTAAGATCCAGCACAGTGACAGTCAGACGATGCATTGAAGGCCGCTTTGAAGGACTTTGCAGAGTGGCTGGACACAACGTTCCCTGCGGATTCAAGGCCACTACGAGCAGAGCTGTGCAACTCAGCAAATTGGCTCCCAAAAACATTAACACACCATGCCCTGAAGGTACCAGTATGCCATGGGCCTTGACGCGGTTGGCCCCGTGTGGCTGAGACCGTGGCAAGTCGGATTCCGCTCCGACTTCGGGCTGCCTGGACTACATGAACCCGAAGAAGTGGAACGCCTCCTAGAGCTCATTGTGTGCGAAACGTGTCTGGCCTTGTTTTCATTCACAGAGATGATCTTGCACATCATGCCAAGTATTAAATGTGGTGTATTAAGTGTACTTTATCATACAGCAGACTGTCACAGCTGAGGTTCAGAACCGACTCAGATTTGCCAGGCGTAGAAAAGGTGGCCGTCACCTCGCCTGCTACAGCCTTCCTGGATGGACCATACAAGCCGATGGGTCCGCTTGATGCATACCGTGCCCTAACTTCAATGTTGACTGGGTGGTTAGGATTGATTCAGTTTGTGGTCATGGCTCTGTGCTTCAATTGTGACCCTATCCTTGCCCTGTTGCAGCTCATCTTCTTCCTCCGTTCTCCGTCGGCTACGTCAAGGGATGGAGACGCTGCACCACAATGCTCATAGCCGTCCAGGGCTTGCGAGAGCTGCAGATCGATTTGGGCCTTCTTCCGCCGGGGTTCAAGGTGCATGCTGTGGAAATATGATGCCAATGTTTTGCTCCTGAAAACTGTGCTGCCAGGCCAGTGTGGCTACAATCCACGGCACGGTGGGCCGCTTCACGTCAGTGCACGAGCAGGTGCTCGCTTCGAGAGGCCTGGTTTCCTGCTTCTGATGTGCAACAGTCAACAGGAGGGCTTGTGAATCTTGCACAGGAATCACCATGTCGAGCGTTGCGACTCGCAAAGCTCCGAACGCCTTCAACTTCCTCCGCCAGATCACAGTGCTGGAAAGATGCAAGTCTGTGGAGGTGGCCAACTTCGTGGTTTGACTCTGACATATTGCTCTGGATTCTGTTTTTGGGGGTGAGCAACATAATAAATAAGTCTATTATAGGTTTGGGGTTACTTGATGGACCTCTTGGGTGCCTTGCAGGGTCTCTAGAATCTAGCAATGAAGTGAACAAAACCACTCGAAGCTTTGAGGCTGTACTAGGTTCCAGGACGGATTTCCGCTTTAGGACTAACCCCAGTGATTCCAAGGATTGGTCCAAGTCGGCTGCGATTGCCAAGGCATATCAGCTTGGAAAGCTGGAGGCTGCCGCTGTGTCCAACCTGAAGACAAAGGTCTCGATCAAGGTTTTGGAGCGGGTGACGGAGTGTGTTCGTGTGAGAGGCCTCCGCTACTTGATCTCTCACGAGGCTTTGGCTAAGGACATCCTGAATCAAGGTTTCACGTCCGGCCGCGACAAGCTGGACGCGTGGGCCGTTCCGCTTACAAACTGCTCCGATGATGCCTTGGTGCCTTGGTTGAATCTCATCTGTCCTGCACGACGACAGCGCAAATCAAACTAGAGGTAGCAGCTCGCAGATCAGTGGCCGGTTCTGTGTCAGGTGATGCTGTTCTGGGATAGGCTTTGTGCTGATCATGACAAGCAGCCTCGGGAGCTGCGGAAGCCCGTTGGATTTCGTGATGCCTGCAGCCTGCATGCAGCGACGGGTGCTTTCCTGCACTTCGTGGCTCAGCTTCAGAAGAATATTTCTGAAGCTGACTTCAAGAAAGAGGAAAGCAATCTGAAGATCCAGTTCATGAGTGGCTGCCTGGATCCTGAGCTAGTCAGTGCTGTCGAGAATTCGGTACCGCCGGGCGATCTGAAGTCTGTGGGCTTGCTGAGGCCAGATTGGGATGAGGTTAGAGGGTTACAGGGTGCCTGCTGTTTTCATGTGTAAACCCAGAAAGAAAGCCTGCCTCAGGGACATCGTGAACAATGTGCAGCACCGGGCCACCTTGGAGGCTGAGGCTCGAAGTGACGAGCTGGCCAGAAAGGTGGCAGAGGCCACTGCTGCCCAGATCAGTGCCCAGCTGCTTGCTGACATCGAGACCTTGAAATCCCGAATTCCTGACCCTGCTGCTTTAGCTCGGCAAGCTGCTCTTGATGTGAAGTATGTGCGAGATCGGCAGAAGCCGCGAGTCAGCACTGCATTGAGGTTGAAGGGTTGAAAGCTTAGTGACTTAGTGCTGTGCGGGACTACGTTGTTGTTCGACAGGGTCTAAGGTGTTGCAATACGACTAGTTATTATTCTCCATCATCCTCGTCTTGTCATGTTCATTAAGGCAAGGGGAAGATTGGGCGAGAAGCTGGCTGGCTGAGAACTGCCACACAATAGTGCCTGAGGAGGAGGCTTTCGGCAGATCCGTAAGCCAATTTGCTCATTTCCTGGCCCCGCTTCGAGAGCCTGCATCACAGGGCCCATCCCGTGTGTTTTGGGCTCAGACTCAGCTGACTGTCCTGCCGGAACATGTCATGTCGATGAGTCTGAAGCTTCTGAGCTATCACTTCATGTTGTGAGGCTTGTGATGTGCACATGTGACTTCACAGTCTACCCGAGCAACTCCAAGATGGTTACCAGTGTGCAAGAGCAGCTGTGCACGGCCTTGAACATGTCGGCTGACCACTTCGGTCACATTCAGTTGCCTCAGAACCAGGCACAAACCCAACAGAGCGTGGCAATCAAGCACCGCCGCAGCCTGGAGGATGGACTGCTTTCGCGGTCCATGGATCTGAGCAGGCATGTCACCATGTTGTTCAAGAAGGAAAATGTTCGTGCATCAGACAAGCGGCCCGGCACCCAAGCCTGCTATGCTGTCTTCTCGGCCCACAAGAAGGTCACTTAGTCAATCTTATTGCTAAGTCTGATGGAGCTCTGAGCAGGATTGTGCTTAGTCCCCAGGCTTCCCATTATTGCAAAACTCCGACTCAGGTTGCACAAAGTGCTTGGAGCACTTCCGAGCCTCTGCAAACCAGCTTCATCCCGGACCTCCCGCTCATCAGTGTGGCAAACATGCGAGGGTACGACCAGGACAATCGGCCTGCAGGTTCAGCTCGCGTGGAACAGCAGCTTGACTCATGCATTTGGTCTCCCAGCCTGCTTTGTGGAAACAGCCACCGGTCACTGTCATCCATGTCTAGCTTCCTGACAGGAAAGGAACCGAATGCCACCAAGCCATTGTGGAGGCCTATCTTGACGGCCTGAACCTTGCCGAGAACGATAAAGTCGTGATCTTCGACCTGCTCCCCAACCGGTGCACTGTTGTGCAGATGGACTGTCTACCGTGCTAGTCTGTCGCTGTTCCAATGCACAACACAGTTCGCAAGACACCTGTTGCAGGTATGCAGAATTCGGCTTGGCTTTGTGCCAGAGGGCTTTGGAGGGAAAGACACCGACAGCACTCTACTTTGGTGTGCTGCGGGCAGATCAGAAGGATGTGCAGTCGGAGATGTTTTCCATGGCTTACAGCCACTGGGATGGAAGCTCCTTGTCCCCTCCAATGTCCCGGCCCGTCGAAGCCCCTTCAGAAGAGAGCTTGACACCACTCAACCTGCTCACCTGGTCCAATGGGAGGCCTGGATGGCCCACCGATGTGCTGAGCAAGTTTTTGCCTGGAAGCAAGGAGCATGAGCACATCTCGAAGATCAAGCACGACTTTGAAGTGCTGTGCCCGGCTGCTGACGTCGCCCCGCCTGCTGCGTCCTCGGCAAACCCGGCTCGCGCGCAGGGCTCCCCTGACTTCAGCGTCGATGGTGGCAAGCAGCCCTTGGATGTGACACGTTTGCTCGACCTGCAAATGATCGCCAACGATGACTTCAATGAGCCGAGGCCATACACATCCTAAGGTCATGTTATTAGCTATTAGTCTGTCTGTTCATTGGAATCTAACTAACTATCTGCTAGTCTGTACTCTCCCAGGAACCAGATTAGTAATTGTATTAATTTCGAATGACCCAGAGAGCATTAGACATTGTATGACATCTATCGAGTGCCATGACCAGCTTGCGAACTTTAAGCCCAGTATGCAGGATGGCTGTTGCGGGTGGTGCCCGTGGAAAGCCCACAGTGGTGATTACGGAGGGTTTCCACATTTACCTCGGCAACGACGGGAACAGTCGCTTGAACCTCAATGCCACCGAGCTGTTTGGGTTTAATGTTGGCCAATTCACTGAAAAGATCATTGAAGGCGGGCTGATCTGAGGAGCTCTCAGCACTGTAATAATGTGTTAGTTCTTGACAATACACAGTCGATTCTGAAGCAGGCCTGGGCCATGAGACTACCGGTATCGTCTGGAGACTGCCGGACGATTTGGCGTTCGTGGCTGTGGACAAGCGTGTTGTGTGCGTTTGCAACTACTTTCACGAGCTGGTGGTCCAGCACGGGCTGGCAGAGATCGAGCTCCAGGACCATGTCATCGAAGCGAAGCAGCATCCAGCCGAGTCTTAGATGCATCCGATCAACTGATGGCTCTGGAGTTTGAAACTTTGTCAGTAAGACCAAAATAGCTAAGGACGGGAATGGAGAAGCGGTGCCGGTGTCGTACCGTTACGACATCAAGCCCCTCAGCACCAAGAAGACGAATGTGTTCAAGCCTGCCAGGCTTCAGGACTTCGACAGCTCGAACGCTTCTGATGTGGAAATGAAGCACAGCCAGCTCGGTGCAGCCTTTATGGGAAAGTTTGACACGTTGCTCGTGGGCAGCAACCGAGCTCGAATTGTTTGGGAGGTTCAGCTGCAAGGCACAAAGATTGTGCCGCTAAAGCCGAAAGTGTTCCTGACCTGCGGGCTGTCGATTGACCCGGGTTCTTGGGTCAAGCTGTGAAGCAGCAACAAATCCGGGTAGGGGCACATTACAGTCATTATTACATGACATGTAGTCAGCTTGGCATCATACAACAGAGCCTCAGCCCGGATGACCTCGTGACGCCACGGGATTTTCTTCACTCTCGGAGCAATGTAGTGGCTGGCAGTTCTTCTGACCCGAGTCAGCATTCTTGCAAAAACTAGAGTTTTCAGCGACTGGTTTTGTGTTACGTTGCATCGAATGTGCCGGCTTTGAATCCTTCATCCAAACCCTCATGTGGCAGCGTGGCTTCCAATTATCCAATCGGACTCGGCCCCTGGCCCTTCAATCCCTGTCCAATGGGGGTACTTCCGGCTGTGGATGCCTTGAGTGATGATGAGCAGGGCGAGGACAGTGCTTGATTCAGAGTGTGATGCAATGCAACAATGATTTAAATTAAGATCACAGCTGAGTGCAGGAAGTGGCCCCCAAGGCAAAGGCGAAAGCCAAAACGAAGGCAACAGCGAAGTCCAAGGCGAAGGTGCTGAAGGTCTTGAAGAAGCCAAGCATGGCGCATCCCCCGCCCGAGCCCGCCGAGACCATCGAGACTGCAAAGCCTGAGGAGGAGGAGACTGCAAAGCCTGAGGAGGAGGAGACTGCAAAGCCTGAGGAGGAGGAGTTCGAGGAGGTCCAGGTGGAGGAATCGGAATCTTCTATGCCAGATGCCGGCTCATCAGCGATGCCGAAGAGAAAGCCAGCGATCAAGCCAACGAAGAAGCCGGCATCAAAGTTGGAAGGTGATAAGGGGTTTGTGTATGTGTGTGCTTGCCTGTGTTTCTGTGTGTGTGTGACGTGGTTGCTCTCGGAGTCGGCTTTAAATCTTATGCTGGCAGGCAACTACTCGAACCCTTGCTGGCACAAGGGTGCGCTTCGGTGGTGCATCAAGCGTGGAGCGCGCGAAGTGGTCTCCGCTTCCCGGCTGAGTGCTACAGTATGCCGTGAGCCTGACAATTTGTTGCAGCAGCAGTTCAGCTCCTTCTTCAGATTCAGGTTGGGGGCAAGAACTTGGACAAGGAGAAACTGAAAGAGATCATCGCCTTCTCCTTAGATTCTGGATGTTGTCCTAATAAGTCGATTCCTGCATTATATTGAAGTTGGACTTTGTCACGGCCTGAGGACATTTGCCATCAAGGCCTTGTGGATGGAACGACGAAAGAGAAAGAAGTGAAGGAGCTGGCTGCCCCTCGACAGCTTGACTCACTCCGGGTTGTGGTGAATTAAAATAAAAGTGTATAGTACCCAATCAATGCCAAGGCAAAGCTGAAGAGCGAGCTCATTGCTGCCATGGGCAACTCCGGAATTTTGGCTGCGGTTAAGCTTGCAGTGGACTTGGTATTGACTTGGCCATAAGCTTCTGATTCTCAGGATCCTCGGCCAACAAGGAAGTCAAGGAGAAACCTGCCAAGGAAGTCAAGGAGGAACCTGCCGAAGATGGAGAAGATCCTGTTGCAGCGGACTACGTTGATTATGATGAAGAATGTGAAGAAGAGATGCCGCTCGCAGAAGACTGTGAACTGTGAAGAAGCTTCGTAGATCAGACGGCTGCTGTGACATGTGATTCCTTTCGTGACTGCAGCATACTGCAGCCTAAACTCGTGGATCACAAACCGTGCTTGACATGTCACTGTGCCTTTGGTCGAAGCCTGGAACGTGGAGCCCGCGGAGGTGAAAAGATACTTACGTTTGATGCTGGCACGGCAGAGAGCGAGAGAGAGAGAGAGAGATAGAGAGGGAAACGAGGTCTACAAGGGCAGAGAGACGGAGTGAATCAGGAAACAAGCTAAAATCATAAAATAAATTTTGAGTCTGATTTCTTTGATAAAGATAGATTGAGATATTATTATTATTATTATATTGAATAGTTTTCCCCACATAATACCTTTGGGGAATATAGCTGACGATTCGATGCTGACAGGTTGACACGCGAAATCGCCTGAACTCTTGGCCTTATTATCCTGTGTGCGAAACGACAGCAATTATTATTCTCCCTTGCTTCATGTTCAAAGCTTCCTTCTACTATCTCAATTTGTGTTTCAAGTTTGATTTCACTCTAAGTCTAGCTCCGTGGTACGTGATATACCTTAAACACTAAACCACCCCTCAACCCTAAACTGTGTTGTTGGCTCAAAGTTTTTGGGCTCAAGTCGAACTGTATTTGTTTGAGCCGTGATACCTGAAACACTAAATGAACCCTTAAGACTATAAAGTGTTGTTGGCTCAAAGTGTTTGGGCTCAAGTCGCACTTTTGTTGTGTGCGCCGTGATACCTTAAATACTTACATCAACCCTCAACCCTTAAACTGTGTTGTTGGCTCAAAGTGTTTTGGCCCAAGTCTTCTGCATTACGTGTGTAGGCGCCCAGGTGCACTTGTCATTGACGTGTCACATGACTCAAATTCAACATCATGGCTTGTCAAGGAGTTCTGATTGAATAACAAGCGCCAACCCCCCTTCGACCGTCAGTGCCTAACACCCTGTGATGTACCAAAACAAGTGGGGTTTCTTCCCATTGTATGGCTCTGGCGAGGCTCTTAAAGGCAGGGCCCCCGAATCACTTTGGGACCCCCGAATGCCAAGAAATTTCTTTCATTCCATCACCTGAACCGTAGCATTCATGTAGCAAGCATTCGCCTGGTTCACAAAGACCCGCCTTAGTACCGGAGCTGCTCCTGAATTTTCTGGCATAGAGGTCCTTTGCCCAGTCGTTCCTTTCTGTAGCCCAACCCGATCAACTGGAACACGCAGCATCCCTGGAGCTCGATCAGAACGTCCCAAATTTCCTCCGCATGCTTGTTCCGGACTGAAAGATCGAGCTTGAATGTGGCCTTGCTGTCCATGGTCTCGGTCAATCGTCGGGTGCAATGGAAACGATGCACTGCGTCCCTCTTGACATGTTCCGTCAGAAGCTCCAGTTTGTTCGACATGTCGACATCCGAAATTTGTGGCCTTGATTTGTCCAGCTCGAGGTGCCTGAGCTTCGGATTCCACTGCTGAAAATGCCACCCCTGGGTGTCTCGCCATCCCATCTCCACTGCTCGTTGAAGCAGCTCCTTGGTGTTGAGGACCCGGTGATGACGGTCTTTGAGCTCTCGAAACATCGAGAGAGCCATCACTTGCTTCAGCGGCATGTGTGCCATACCCCACGTCGGTTCGGCAGCCTGTTTCTTTTTGAACTCCACTGCCGTGCGATAGAGGTGGCCCAAGATCGAGTCGCCTCCCGGGCTGAACCATAGGACCAATGACGTGTCCTGTTTCAGCAGGTTGATCTCCTGCTCTTGCTGAAGCACGACCCTTGCCAAAGAATAAATCAAGGGGTCCCTTCCGTGATGTGTTGGGTATAGTGGTGATGCTGAGGATATTGGTGGGAGTTCTGCTGGTGGTGATGGTGATGGTTGTTGCCCCATCCTGATCCATTGCTCCAGCTTGCATGTTCCGCCGCTTCTCGCCTTCTTTTCGGGTTCATGCTCTGATCTCCCTCCCCCGGATGTCCCGGGGTCCCCACGGCCCCTGCTCGAACCGCCCCAAAGAATTCGTCCATCTCCGAGTCTTGGCCGGGATTCCCGAACATAGCTGAGACCACGGTCAATTTCCTGGGGCAGGCATAGCACAGCACATTGCCAGATGGTGGTACACTTGTACATGTGAGCTTTCCAGTCCTTGGGCGACGATCCGCAGTAATGGCAGCGAATGCTAGGGGTAGCACTCAGTTCAATGATGCGTGAGATGTCCCCCTGCCTAGCCGGAAAAATCTCGGGGTGGGTGTTTCGGTAGTGCAGTTTCATCACCTTCTGCGATGCAACCCATTGTCCACAAATTCCGCAATGTTGATGTAATTGTCGCGTGATTTGAGGCTGCTGGATGAAGAATCGGAGACCCTGTTGTGCAGTTTGTTGAACCAAGAGCTGTTGCGCAAGAGGCCGCGATTCAGGAATTTCAGTGTTGAGTGCAGAATCAGCAACAATCTCACAGCCATCTTCGGTTTCGGCTTCTACTTCAGGGTCAAGGCTCGGCATACGCACTTCCATCAGTGACTGACCATGCTCGTCTACCTTTTGGTCCACCAGCATGTTGGGGCAGGCCAAGGCATTGATATGTTGCTCCAGCGTTTGCCATCTAGCAAATCTTCGTTCGCAGAACCGACAGGTGGGTAGTCCTTTGAGGGCGTGTCGGGCTCTATCAAAGATACGAAGAGGCTTGTTGTGGATGCCGTGTGCCCTACGAGCATGGATCTTCAAGGCAGCCGCCGAGTTAAAGAATGAGTCGCACTCCGGGCACGCCCAGTTTTCAGGCTCAGAGTCCGGATCTTGGCCTGAGGTGGCCACCGCCACTTCCTGCAAGCATTGAGTGATGTGGTCGTCCCATTCTGGCAGAGCCATCCAATCAGGGTCCCCACCATCCGCTCGTTCGCGATCATGTGCACGTCCGATGAGGGTGTGCATGTCCTCAAGCTTGTATTTTTCGAGAACTTCCTGATGAGTATGGCCCGTAACATGTCTGGGGTCCGAAACCACGGCCCTGATATGTTTCATCGCAGTGACTTGGATTTCATGCATCAGCTTGGGTGTCAGGCCAAAAGCATGTAACCCGTAGAGGAGCGTCGACTGCACGCAGGATCGCCACACCTGCAACTTGTACTTTACCCCAAGCCGACGAGAGTGTATGACCGGGGCCAAAGCCCATCTGCGCTGGTTCGCCTTGGAGATGCGGTGGCGCGTGGAGAGAGCCTCAAACCGATCGTACGAAAGGATGAGTCCCAGATAAGGGGCCTGAGTGACCAACGGCAACCATCGTGTAGGGTCTTTCGGCGAAAGTAGAAGACGCTTGCCCTCGTGTCCGGTGCGAACGTAGTGTTTGTGTACTTTCCCTTTATCGCTGCCCGTGACCATCAGAAGTGCCTGGGTTTTCTTCTCGTTCACCTTCATTCCAAATCGAGCGAAGATCTTCAGAATGGTCCTGAGTTCCGCAATGGATTTTTCCAGTCCCATGAAGGTGCAAAACTGCCACCGCAGGTGTGAGTCATCGGCATACAATACAGCATGTTCTCCCGACCAGCTCTCACGCAGCTGCACGTCGAAAGCCTGACAGAGAAGAGCAGTAAAGATGCTCCACAGCATAGGGGACGCAATGCATCCTTGTCTGAGTCCCCAATGGGGCCTCACCGATCTTGAATCCCGGCCGTGATGAAACACGTAGATCACTTGTCGGAGCCACTGTAGGAGAAGTTCCTGAACAGAGTCATTGATGTGCGCCATCTCCATCGCATGCTTGATGTGCTGCCATCCTACTAAATCAAAAGCGGCAGTCAAATCCAGGCTTACCTGGAGCCCGCCTGAAAAAGCAGGGGCATTGATCCCGTCGTACTTGTCGTGCAAGCTCCGCCTAGTACGAGCACATTGGGTTCTGACAGCATCACAGTGAGCGAAAACGGTTTTCAAAGCCGTAGTAGTGGACCGGCCTGGCAAGTAGGCCGTCTGAGGCCACTTCCGTACCATCGTGACCATCTCCTCCTTTGCCATCGACAGAACAACCTTCATGATGGTTTTCCCTATCGGGTGCTGTAGACCAATGGGTCGAAGGTCCAGTGGGGAGCTAGCATTGGGCTTCCCTTTGGGAAGAAGGGCAACATCGGCCTTGGCCCAGTCTTGGTGAACTTGTACCTGATCCTCTCGCCAGTCTGCATTTACCTTCCGGACCAGAGGCTGTACGATTTGTTCAGCACATGCTCGCCATGCAATAGCTGGGACAGCACCAGGAGGTACGGCCTTGCGAACAGGGATGCGCGAGAGCTCTTCTAGCACATGGTCAGCCTGGAGTTGGACAGGGGCGTGCTGCCGTAGCAGTGCTCCAGGTTCACTGGAGAATGGAGCCCCAAATCTTTCCCCAAAGGCCTCCGCAATCCAGTCCAACTCAGCAGTGGGGGTCATCAGATGGCCATGCTTGTAGAGCTGGACCTTTTTGTGTCTACTTTTGGGAGCTAGGCGCTTGATAACACACCACATCTCGTGAGAGTTGCCTTTGTCCGCAGCTTGTTGAGCCTGTTGTAGAAATTCATCCCGTCTGACCTTTGAGCGAACTCGGGCCCGTTGCTTGTAGATTTTGTGAGCTTTGGCAAACTGAGCCCAAAGTTTCCATGCCTCCATGATGCCCTTGGCCGTAAATTTTTGAGCCTTCATTTGTCTATGCAGGCCCACAGATGTCTGGCGCTACCGGCAAGCTCTTCAGGTTGGGTAGGCGGCTGCTTCGGCGGCTCCCTTTTGGGGTAGTACTTGAGCGCTGCCTGAAGGACCACATCATCGATCATGTGCAGATCCGGTTGGACAGACTCAGCCACCTCTTCCCGGAAAGCTTTCAGCGCCGTGGTCTGGGTGGCAGCCCTGAGGTCAGTGATCATCCGCTGCACATCAATCTGGTGAACAACCGGTGGCTTCGGCCTGGACAGCCAGTGGGGCCGAGGAAGGGGAAGAGTAGCCTCCACTGCATGGTGATTTGCTCCCTCCCTCCAGCTGGCCACTGGATAGTTGTGAATGACCCCAGCTTTTCTGGCCTCGGCGGTAGCCATGCTTTGCCTAACCATCACGTAGTCGATCTGTGACCTGAGCTTACCGAACGTGAATGTAGCTAAAGTGTGATCGTCGGATGGAGCTCTCCAAGAGTTGAGAACGACTAGCGACTGCGCCTCACAGAGGTGGAGCAGGTCCATGTAGTCCGACTTATGTGACTCCACCACCGGAAGCACGTGTGGTCCACAGACCTTCGGCATTGGACTACAGGTGCTGTTAAAGTCCCCGGATAGTATAAGGGCGTGACGCCGAGGAAGGCTGGAAAGACACCGTTGGAGGCATAGAAGAAATTTGTGCCTATACTCGGGTGTGTCGGGCTTATCATTGGCAGCATATTGATAGACATTCAAGATGTCCAAGGGCGTCTTGCCTGTCTGAACCCGGACGTGAAGAAGTCGTCCCGGGTGGACACCTTGGTATTGTATGTCGTCTCTTCGAGCAAGTCTGGTCGAGACAATAGTGAGCAAACCACCCACCTTGTCTAGCTTCCCACGTCCAGCAGAGTGGATAAAGTGGAAGTCCGCCGAGCTCCAGCAATTGTCCTCAGCCCATTTGGTCTCCTGACAAGGCACACGTCCATCCCCTGATCACGCACAAATGTGAGCAATTCCTGATACACGTCGCTGCTCAGCCCGCCCGCGTTCCACGTCATCATGCGGATAGGCCTGGCACTGGTGGTAGGGGAAGTGGTACGAAATTGTGGGAGATATACAGGGTGTACTGGAGCACGTTGGAACCAAGTTTGTGGCTTCCAGCTGCCTCGATATATCGCACCTCCATCGCGAAGAGATCTCACGTAGGCTCGTCGGTACGACCTTTTCTGAATTCTTGAGGTGTCAGGAGTCCAGGTTTTGAAAGGCATGCTGGCCTCTCGTATTCTGCTGGACTTTGCCTCCGAAGAGGCTCCAGGCGGCATAGCAGAAGGACCGCCAACCCTCACGTCTGTGCTTACGGAACGATTCAGCACTACCTGGTGCATGAACATAAGAAGACCAAACTGAATTCTGCCGATTGGCCTGCCGTAAGCACCACCGGAATTGGGACCGATGCGGCTGTTTCTCGATGGAACAGGGGAGGAGTATAGACCTGTTCCCCGTGCAGATTGCATTTGAGGTAGCATGTTGGCAATGTTAACAAAGAGCAACGGGATCCCCGCCATCAGCCAGAGGGCAGATTGTGAAAGAAGCCGAAGACTCTCCAAGGCATACCTGTGCAGGCTGGACAGACACTGCCTGAGCAATGTTCCCGCTGAAGACACCCGTGGCATTCCAGGTAAGGTTCGCACACAGGTACTCAAGGTTGTGCAAATAGAGTACCTGGCCACCCGGCTGCACAGCAAGCTTGTAGGTTCAAAGATCACAGTCTCACTGGTAAGCGACTTGGCAGCAACAAACTTTTTGATCCACGGCCGCCAGGTACACTGTGCAAGGGGAGCCCAGTTCACAGGAGTTTCTCTGCCTGTCCCTGCCCATACAACAGAACTACAGCGTGCTTTCACTGTGCAGGCGCCTGAGTGAGGGGACAGAAGTTGATCGGAAGAGCATGGGTTGTCAGGGCTGATGTTCCAATTTAGCCACTCTACTCTGTCTAGGTACAGCGCGACTGTGGCCGTCAAATGAGGCCCCCACTTCCTTCGGACCTTCGGCTTTGCCGTTGCACCACCGCGATCTCGATCCGTGAAGTTTGGTGGAGTATTTGGTGCCACTGCTGTAGCCCCCGGAGCCCGCTGTGCCGGATACGGCTGTAGTCGTCGGTGTCGTAGGAGGGCCCCATCTAATCGCCGCCCGCTCTTCCGTGTCCAGGCTGTTGATCACATCCCGAAGAGCAGGATCATGCATCAGGCTGGCCTCCTCTTCCGCTGTCATAGTTTGTCGGCCATCGCGCTCCATGGCCTCCACAATCGTGCGGGTGAGTGCCGCCTCCCGCTCCGTCGGGCCAGAGGTGTCCAGGGCCGTGTCGACGGCTCCAGCCCCGGCATCCACAGTGGTTGCTTCTTCCTCCGCGGCTTCTTCCACTGCTTCCTCTTCTTCCCCCTCCTCGTTGAGCTGGTCGAAGTGCAAAGTGTTCGGGTGCGACCGGGCTAGCCACTGCACATCGATGCGGATCGAGGTCATGGTGGAAATGTCCCCTGTGATCAATGCCAGGGAGCGTCTGACATGGATCCCCCTAAAGGCCAGCTCATTTGCCACTGCACTTGAGATCGCGTGGCTCATCGGTCGCCATGCTTGCACAGTTTGCGGGGGAGGAGGCCCCCTAGGCAGGGGTGTTCCATTTGGAGTGAACAATTCCTCCGGCTCCTCGCCACTATCCGTGATGTCCTGGGAGTCGATGTCGTTCGGGTGGGTCTCCTCCTCTTCGGCTGCCATGTGAGTCGAGCAGGGTGGGCCTGCAAGGCCCTCGGATGCGTCACCCCTCAGACCCGGATCTTGAGCCTTCCGAAGTGATTTCGATCCAAGCAGATCTGTCACAAAAGTTGCACAAGCGTCGCAGAATTGAATGAGCAGCCGTGTTATACGATGTATTTTCCACAGGTCCTAACAGATGGTCGAGGTGATTTCCGACAAGATGCCCTTCGCCTATAGCCGCGCCTGAATCTCCGTATGGGCCACCTTCGGGTCCAGTTCCGACTGGTCCTTCCTAAGCAGCATCGGCCACAAGGTCGACCTTGAACCCTAGTCCAGGGCATCCAAGTCAAAGGCATCTGTAGTCGATCTCTGTGGGGATGTAGGAGGCTGTGGGGGAGGAGGGCCGCATGGCCACAGGAATTGTAGCCAGCTCGGGTAGTGAAGTCTGCACCATGTATAGAGCTCAGCTTCGGCCGGGGCAAACGGGGTTCTCCTAGAGGCCAGTAGAGCCCGTAGTGGGTGTGAATCCGAATCCCAATGTCGCTCCCACTCCTCAAAGAAAACCAGATTGGCAATGCGCCCTCCAGACGGCCAAGATGCCCGAAGCATACCAAGCTGGTGATGGAACTGGGCCCTCGCTGTACGACGTGAGAAGAGTTCCCGAGCATACACTGTGTGTTCATCCAACGGTGTGACTTTGTTATGATTTGGTATCCATGCGTTGCAGGCTCGGCGGTAGTCGCCTGTGTCCAAATCAATCCCCAGCCAGTCACACATGCTATCCTCAAGATCACGCAAATATTGCTCCACCGCATATGCAGATGCAGTTGCCAAGCCAAGCAGCACGTGGATCGGAAATTCCTGGTTTTTCCTAGCACACGATCCGCACCGCGTCGCAATGGCTCAAACCACTATCTGTTGGGGGCAACACGCCCCTGTCAGCCGAGACGCTTGTAGTAGTAGTAGTAGTAGTAGTAGTAGTAGTAGTAGTAGTAGTAGTAGTAGTAGTTGTAGTAGTAGTAGTTGTAGCAGTAGTAGTAGCAATAGTAGAAATAATTGTTGTCGTAGTAGTAAAAGTAGCAGCAGTAGCAGTCGCAGCAGTTGCAGTAAGTAGTACTGCAGGTTTTTTGCGCGGCATAAGAGCAAGGAGTTTGCTGTTCAAAACGAAGCGGGAGGTTACGGGGCAGGGGGTGCAGCTCCGCCCATTTGCAAATTTTTCCAACATAAAGTATTGTTACATTGTTGGGCTTTGGCCTTCAGAAGTGTTTTCATTCATGTATGATTATCTTGTGTTTTCATTTTTGAACAACCCTAAACGTCTTCGTGTGGCTTTCGCTGCTATTATTCGCATTATTCGCTTCTTCGCGACACAAGCAAAAAGTTTGCAGTCCAAAACAAGGGGGGGTTGGGAGGGGCGGAGCCCATTGCAAACCTTTCCAGCATAAGGTATTTTTCATTATCTTTTGTGTCTTTTAAGCTTTCAAAGGACTTCTCATTCATGTATGATTATCTTTTGTTTTCACCTTTAACACCCCTTATCGTTTTTGTGTGGCTGTCGCTTTTATATGTCATGGAACGGATGTTGTTATTCGCACTGTTCGCTTCTTCGCTGCAGCAGAGCAAGGAGTTTGCAGTCTAAAAAAAAGCGGGGGGGTTGGGGGGGCGCAGCCCCCCCCATGTGCAAACCTTTCCAACATAGGGTTTTTTGCTTTATCCCTAAGATGCCTGGCTTATGCACGTTTCATTTAGGATTGTTTTTTATTTTTAACTTCTAAGCGTTTTCGTACTACTAGTAGCAGTAAGAGTAGTACTAGTTATTGTAGTCATTGTAGTACTCGTTGTGGCAGTCGTGGTAATTGCAGCCGTTCGCCCCCCCATTTGCAAACCTTTCCACAATTCCCAATTTTTTGTGCCCAAACAGAGCTTTTGTTTTTCTTCGCTTTACACCAGTAAATACGTCTGGCTTTCGCCTTCACAAAACTTTTCCTGTCTGCTGACGCTGCTGTGCCGCGTGCACACAGCTGTGCCGCTGCATCTGAACGCAGGCATCCACGCAGCGCGCCTCTGGCATGGGCTGTGCCGCTGCATCTTTGGCGCGCATGCTGCTGTGCTGCAGCCATGCCCATCTTTGGCGTGCATGCAACGCGCCTTTGGCGTGCGCACAGCTGTGCCGCTGCTACGTGTGTGCCGCTGTTTTGTTTGGCGTGCAGGCAGTGCGTCGCCTCTGCGCGGAAAGGCTGCGCAGGTGCATCTGTGGCGTGCCTGCTGTGCCGTTCGGCGTGCGCAACTGTGAATTCCAGGCGTGCATGCTGCTGTGCACTTGGTGAGGACACTAAATCTCAGTGAAAATAACGCCTTCCTGCCCTCCTGCTAACCAGCAGGAACTGGCCACGGGAGCCAGCTTTAGGTGTGACTTCCCGAATTGTGAGATTTGCAGTCCTAGGCTGTTCGAGCAAACAGCGTAGGTGCCGTACGTGCCGCCTGCAGCCGCATTTTGCGCTTTTGCTTATGCACACCAGCACTTTTTGTGCAAGTTTCGGACGCGCAAAGCATTGCTTCATAATTGTATGCATGCCACAAAGAGCATGCCACACAGTTTTTCGCATAATGACTTAGTCTTTCCAACATTTCTGTGCGTTGATGGCCGCATGTTCTTAGTCTGGCAAGACAGAAATAACATGTGCTCTTTTGCGCACATGCTCGGAAGCAAGAAAATGTTTTGTCAAGAATCCAATGTGTTGCATGTAAATTATGCCTGTACGCTGCTGTGAGTGCTTCTTCCAAAGTTTGTGGTTTGCTTGCTGTTCGAGACAGGCCATCCAAGTGCTTCTGCTGTCGATGTAGCAATGTAGCAACCCTCCCCTCCACTCTTTCCAGGCCGGATGCCGTTACTTCACCTTGAAATTGCACAGATGTCAGACGTTCAGCGACGCTGCTCTTACGTGGCAGGCTTCTGGGAGCGATAGCTTTCTTTTGAAGTCAGCATGTTGAGTCAGCTTTGATAGCTTTTGTGGTTCGACTGCAAGTTCAGCGAGCTCTTCGACATGCCCGACATCTTCTCGAGGACCTAGAGACACGCGTCTTGCATCTGCGAAGTGCGTTGATTCGGTCTCAAGCAGCTGCGCACGTGCTGCAAAACCTATCGGACCTATCCATTCTACCTTTTTTCCGCCGTGGAGAAATGGCTCTGCGCGTTGCTTCCTGCCACATATAAGGTATTATTCATGTCTTGGCTGTCGTTGCAGTCACACCGTCACACCCATGATCCACTAAGGCTGGTTTTCTTGTTCCAACTCTTGGCGCTACAATGCCGCTACAACTACAACAGCTCCGTTCGTGCAGGTCTTGGAGCTCAGCCCGTGCCAGGAGTGCTTGCGTGTGGCTCTGCCCGAGCCGCAGCAACCAGAGTTGGACCCCCCCAGCATTCTTCGCCTGTGGCATGAGGCCTGTGCAGTATTTCTGCTTCCGAAAGCTCTTGGCTTCCGTGCAAGAAGTCATTCTGCGAGTAGGTGGCGACACAGCGCAGCTTCCTTCGAGCTCTGACTCTGGTGCAGATCCAGCTGACTGCAAGCATTCGTGCTTCGGAGAATTTGGAGGGCTTCCTGCTTTGGGAACTAGGGTGTCTTTGAGTCTTTGATTCTTGCTGGATGTACGTACTAGCTTGTTCATCTAGTTTGTCATGCTCCGATTATGACTGCTAGTTCCTACCACAGTGGAGCCTTAGCAGAATAGCTTGATTGAGACACGTCTGTCTACAGCGCCGGCGAAAACTTGTTGCGTGTGCGTCTCATGCTTGCTTCTTGTGGCCTCCGAGCTTCCGAGCTGTCACACGCATCACTATTAGAGCGCTCTGGCTTCTGTATCCTTCGGTTCGAGGCTTTCCACGTGCCAGCATCAATTTCCGCTTTCGCTATTTCGCTGCGTCCATGTCGCTTCTCGCTCGGCCGCTGCGATTGGGTCCCGCGCAGCAGTGCGTGGCTCCAGGCTTTGTGGTCGCAGTGGCTGACACCGTCCTATGGGCTTCCTCAACGTCCTGGAAGACCCGCTCAACAGTTCGGCGCGGTGATGTGTTCTTGGCCAGCAGCTTCGTGAAACAGGTTGGTGCGTGGAGCATGTTGCCTGTGTGCGGAGGCGGTGCTGTTGAAACACTGTTTTTTCGCGCGGCCACGGCGGTGGATGTACGGCTTGGGCCTCATGTTGTTGTGTTGGATCTTGATCAGCCCTTCTGGCGGCCACGAACCCGGCGTGCTCGCCGACAAGCATCGATAGCATCTTCCATGCCACGTCGCTTGCCTCTTGTGCCCTCACCGACCGCAAGCTTCTCGCTCCCGCCGTCCTTCTGCTCCAGCAACTCCAGTGGCAAACTCTGCACACGCACTGACTCGCGTGTCATGTCGCCCCCTGGCAGCCCTATGCGCACTGCCTCGGTTGTCACTAACCCAGATTCGGTTCTGATGTACGTGCCGATGCTCGCTGCTTTGACGGAAAGCTTTAACCTGTCCCGCAAGGACCGCAACCGCCTTATGCATGCTTTGGTTGGTAACACGCCCAGGTCTGCTGCGTCCTCTGACAGGTGTGTTGGATTCTCCAATCCTTTGGCCACCACTTGTTACGTGGGGTCTTCGTTGCAGTCGCTGCTTGCTGTTCCCTCGATCACAGAGTCCGTCGCGTCGCTGACGTCTCTGTGCACTGACGCCGCCTGTCCTGTCTGCTTGCTGTGCAAGGCGTGCTTGAGTGTACGTTCTTCGGCGCAATCTTCTGTGTCCTTAGCAACTTGGGAGCCCTGGGTTGCCGCTATAGGCCGCAATTTTGCAGAGTATCAAGACGCAGCCGAGATACTGCGTGCTTTGCTTCTTGGCATGTCTGTCGCTGCAGCACATCTTGACCTTGACTTTGCCCGGATTTTCCACATGGAGATCCTCGAAGAAATTGCCTACACATGCCCTGATGGCTGTCCTCCGCCTGCAGCACGCCAAAGCCTGCTGCAGGAGTGCATGCTGCCTGTCTCCGTGCCTGCTTGCGCAGAAGTTTCTTTGGACATGCTACTGGCGCAGTTCTTTGAGCAAGCAGAGATCGTGCACCCAGAAGGCGACTCGCCACCAAAGTGCACATGCCACCAATTACTGACTCGAAGTCTGCGTCGTCGCCTTGCCACGTTGTCGGACTACGTTCTCCTGGACATCAAGCGCCAGGAAGGTGGACGACCCGCAGTGTTTCGTCGCTTCGAGCACATTGTTTTGTCGGGCACGGCGTTGACTTTGGTTGGGGCTGTGACGCGGCACGGGCAGCACTTCATGGCGCATGTTCGGCGTGGTGCTTCGGTTGTCACCTTTAACGACGCATGTGCGTCCGTGTCCAGCGACTGGCCAGATGCAACTTATGCGCTCAGCACAGTCCTTTTGTTTGCTAAGGTGTCGCTGCCACCTGCTCCGCCTCCTGCCTTCCCCTCTGCTCACCACTCCATTGACGCAGACGCTGCGACTCTTTTGTCGCTATATGCTGAGCGGAAGCATGTGGATTGCGTCACCTTTCTCAAGTCTCTGCCTTTGTTCCTACCTGGCGCGCAACTTCTGCATTTGCCACAGCAGCTTCGCACAGCCATCGAAATCTTGCAGTCTGAAGCCATCAACGCTGCATCAGCCCTCGAATGTCGTTTTGGATTTTCCGACAGTATGTTGTACCCGTTGGCTGTGTTGCTGGAAGCCACTGCGATTGCATCGGGCATGCCTGCCATCTTTTACATTGACACAGTTCATGGGCTGGTCAACTCGCTGTTCCATCGTCGACTGTGTGTGAACTTGGGCAAGTTTCCTGAATCTCGCAGCCGCTATTGGTTTTCTGGCACGGGGAATGTTGGTGATGGAAAATCACCTGCCGTCAAGCCTCTCGTTGCTCTGCTGGATTCCGTTCTTGAAGAGCGCTCGCATTTATGCGTGGGTACGGCAGCAGATCGGTTCCATTATCAGCAAAGTGGCACCACTGCCGCTGCAGTCGACAAGCTTCGTCATTGCGAAGGATACCTCACTGTCCATGCGGATGAGGCAGGCAGATGCCTGTGCCCCAAATTCGCCGCAGGTGGCGAGACAGATGCGAGCAAGTTTGTGGACTTAACGCATTTTTTTGATGCTGCTCATGGTGGTGAGTTCTCGCACACAAACAAGCTAGAGCGGCAAAGATACCTTGGTAAGAAGCGATGCAGTGATCCCAAAGGACCCGTTCCTGCCGACATGGAACTGCATATCAAACATACGAATGTCCACTTTCTGTTCCTCCAGCAAGAACATCATTTCAGCAACTTCTTCGCTCAAGCAGCAGCCACGCGTCCCACTGGCTTGGCCCAGCGATTCTTGTTTTCGTTTGGTGCATATGAGAATCCCGGGCTTCAGGATCACCACGGCTTCTTTGAGCAGATTGCTGCTCCGTTGCTTTCGCGTTTGTTTGAGCTCACGTCGACGCGCTACGGACCCCGTGTCCCTGCTGCCGAAGATCTTGCGTTTCAAGTGTCCGAAACCCAGGGGCCCAGGAGTCGATTGTCGCATCCTTGAGCGAAACGGTTGCTGTGTTTGCTCGCCGCAGTGGCCGCTCAGCTTTTCCAAGTGCATTGCCTAAGAGCCTGTATTGGCTCGGTACCTCAGCGTTAACCAATCATGTTCTGGAAGAGTTGTGGCCGCATGTTCTTGCAGACACCGTGCCCTTGCAGTACGATCTAAACATCTCAGATGCTGCCTTCACTGCCAGCGTGCAGTTCATGCACAGACGCTACCTCCGAGGACAATCCATCTTAGCCGTGACTGTGGACGAGACATCCTGGTTGCGTTCTGATGCCGTGCATCTCACCGACCAGCATGCGCTTTTTCTCCGCATTCTACGCGGTTGCTCAACACGTTCTGTGACAGTTGAGTCTTGTTGTCGTTGTGATTTGTGGTTGAAGTGTGAGATTCGGCAGCGGTCCTCTGCTGCTGTGGACATGTTGCAGCAGTTTTGGCAGCTTTCTTTCGATTTGAACCTTGGCGTGCTGCACGGAGACCTTCGCAGCGACCCATTGGGTTGCTCCCTACGCAAGCATCACTTGTCGTGTCTTCACGATACCGCCCGCGCGTGGCTGGTACGGCATCGAATTCCTCTTGAGAATTGGAACCTGTACGCCCTGTACGCAGTTGAGCCAAATGAAGTGCAGCAGCAACCCACGACTGCAGCCAATCGAAAGAAACGGGACTTTATGGAAGCCAATGTGTCGGATCCTTCCCTTAAAATCGTTGCAGCTGCAAAATCGCCTGCGGTGCCGACGTTGTCAACTCCAGCTTCGTCAGCTCCGGCTGCAAAGTCCGGTCAAGACAAGCATCATGAGGCGAAAAGCCATTCTCTTCTGCCTCCGGATACAATTTCCGATCCTGTTCGTTCTCAAGGTGATGTTGCGCGACATCTGGCCATGCACGCTGCCTGCAAGCATTTTCGGCATAAGATTCACTACTCACATTATGATGCGACAAAGTTCACGTTTCATGTTCACTGTCTCGAAGGCAGTGCCGTGTGTCCCTATCAGGTTAATGCAACATACTTCCGACAGCCTGCAGGATACAAGGCAGGCACTCTGTTGTTGACAGCTGTGGGAGAGCATAACGCGCACGAAGGACCTGGGCGAAGTGGCAAGGTCTTTACAAATGCTCAAGAAGCTGCTGCTCTGGCCTTTTTTGCCGACGGAGGACGCTCTCCGAAACATCTGCACCAAAAATTGAGCACAGACTGCCCTGGAGCACATCTGCCCGACATGCGGCAGTTGACGCAGTGGTTGCAACGCGCTAAAAGTAATTCTGCTGCCGAGGCTGCGAAACCAGAACCAATCGACCGCAACCGCGTCGTATCTCTTGCCATGGAACTGTCGCAATGGAATCGCGACTTCGCTTCCACTGCTTCCATTGCAGACTTGTGCACATTCGAGGACCAGGTTCGTTTGGATTAAGATGACGTCTTTGTGCCTTTTGCTTGCCGTGGCATGTTCCAGACTATGCGGCGATGGCGTGGCTCTGAGGTCTGCCTGGTTGTAGATGTCAAGATGAAAGCCCTGGAACACGGCAGAGGTGTTGCAACTGCCTCCTTGCTCACCAAAGCAGGTTTGCGAAATACTCGCTTGGGAGAAGGTCGCAAACAGGGTAAGGCATGTGCGTCGCGACCTTTTCCACTTGTGCAAGCAGTTGTGAGTTCCGAATCGCACGATTTGACACTGCTCTTCTTCCGACTTTTGTGCGATGTCTGGGACAAACATGCAACGCATTGTGTGCCATTGCGCGACCATGTCGTTCAAGTCCACAAGGACTTTGCACCAGGCTTGGAGTCGGCGCGAAAAGCATGCTTCCCTCGGAGCCGGCCTTGTGATGATTTCTACCACTTCACACAGAAACACAAAGAGCTGGAGTCTCGCTTGTTGCAGACCGAGCTGGTAGCCGGCAAGTTCCAGAAAAAACATCTTGGTTGGCTGCAAGCCTTGCTGGCGTCTCTGCGCCTCTTGCCTCGCGCGTCCATCTTCGATGCTTGCTGGCGTGGCCTTCTAGTACGTCTGCATGACATGGACGAAGCCGTTGTGGCAGCTTACCTTGACCGAACATACGCGATGGAAGTGCCAGAAGGTTTGCTTAGCCGCTAAGCCTTAGCGACCTACAGGAGTACTTGCACGATCACCGTTTTGCTGGTTGGTGGGTTGGATGCTGTGGCATTGTTCCTGGCACAGCATGCGGCAGCAACCCAGCAGAGGCGATCCACAGTGCATGGCAGTCCAAGCTGGAGTCGGTGGGCGGCCGTGTGCCCTTGGCTGAAGTTCTTGGAGTAATGCAAAATTTGTACGCTAAGCACTGGCTTGCAAACTTTCAGTGGGAATCCGAAGCTTGCTTGAGCATGGAGGCCATCGATATTGACCCTACGCATCTGCAGGGCGTACAGACTCTCAGCGCTGTGCACCGATCGCCTGCCACGGAGCTGTTTCGCAGCCATAGTGAGCTCAGTCCGTCGTATCACATATATGACATTGATGCGGACTTGTCCATTGTTGCAGTTCGCATGTCTTGTTACGCCCCAATCCTCTGCGAGGACACTGCCAAGAATGGCGTGCAGCTTCTTGTCTGTGCACCCACCCAAGTGCCGCGCTTCTTGGAGGATGCTCATGTGCTTCGCCGAACGGAGTCAGGTTTGGCATTTCAGTACGGTCCATGCAAGAAGCTCTTCGACAACATTGCGTATGTTACAGTTCAGCGAACAAAGCTGACTTGCACATGCTTGGCTCACGCTCTCTGGCGTGGCTGCGAGCACATTTTGCTTTGTCGTTCCTTGACATTTCCCCACCGCGAAGCCGATATCAGCTTGGAGAATGTGCGTCTTAGCAAGCCTCGTGGTCGCCCTCCAGGCTCCCGTGTCAAAGGTGCAGGCAAAGGCAAGTTCCAGCCAAAAGCTTCTCCAAAGAAGGTTCGCAAGCCTGGCAAAGTTATCCGCGAGCTGAGCTGAGGACGCAGTTATGCAGTGACGTCGCTAGGTCAGTCACCGTTGTGCAGATTTTGTTGCAGTCATCATTTCGCTCTTTGACGTTTCACTCAATTTCTGCTGCATGAAGTCAGTAGCCATCGCAAGATGTGCTCGACAGCTTCCAGTGTCTCTAATAAGCCTACGGAACAGGTCTTCAAGCGCAATGAATTGCAAAACACCGCCTGGTTTTGAGCCAGGCATAGACTGTACCTTTCGGCATATGCGGCATCTGTGATTCTTGCGCTGTCACGACACAAGTCTGCTTCTGCGTTTCACACTTGTCACACCATGGTCCACCCTGGCATTAAAACAAGTTTTGCTTCCGAAGCTGCGAAGTGTTGCTTTCTGCAAATTTACCAACATGCTGGTCCGTAACATGCCAGCTTTCGTGGCTCAGTAGAAGAGCGTGTTACCTACTTCTGCCGCGACGCAATGACCGGAACACGGGTGTCCAAACTAAACAAAACAAGGCCCACTTCATGCGCTGGTATTCGCAGCTCGAGACTGTAAGCAGTTGTGGCAGGCGCGGCGGACGCACCGGAAAGCAGCGTCAGCAGCGTAACCTGCAGCTGGATGCAGTTAGAGTCTGGCCGTTCGGTATCTTCACAGTTTCTCTTTCGTGCTGATCTAGTTCTTAACTTGCCAGGCAGCATGATGAGCATGCCAACATGTCAGTACCGACGTCCTCCAGCCGCAGCCTCAGCAAGAAACACGTCTGCTCTCAGCATCTGTCGCTGTCATGTGCTTCTTCAGGCAGCTCGCAGGGCATCCACAAAGAGAAGGCTGGCACTCGCTTCGTTTACGTGACTGTCGGAAATCTGCCTCGCAGGACTGGCTTGTAGCAGTGGAAGCGGCCTTCGCGACGTTCCGCGTTGCACTGTTGACTCTTCTTCACGAGTGGCATGTGCGTCTACAAGCTTTCTCCAGGCAGTTGTTTTGCCAACATGAGCTGTCCTTCTCTTGCTGTCTGTCAGAACCGTCCAGACAACTGCTTCCACGGTAGAAATGCAGACGCATCTCATCAAGATGATCAAGGCAGGTTTCTGTTGTTGTTTGTCGCTTCACATTTTCAAAGTCGGAGCACCTGCGGCGGTTGTGTGCTTTATCCACAACCTTCACTTCTACAGGCGAAATGGACCGAAGTTCTCGATACGCACCTCTCTGGAGAAAGAGCTTCCATTCGCCAACACGTTCCTCCTGGATGGTTTGTTGCGAAGCTTGCACACACTCTTCCGGGTATCGTTTCTGCTGCTCTTTGGTTGCAATACGTGCACTTGCATTGTTTTTCTGCATCCTCTTCTGCGGCTCAGGATTTCGATCTAGCGCCCTGCACAGAAGAAACACTTTGCGCGCATGTTGGCCGAGCGATTGCCCGACTGGAAGGCAACGTGATCAAACCTTCCTCGCAGTTATGTCGATCTTAAGCAGTTGGCAGGACTCGCAAACTGGAGGCTCCACAATCATCATTGCTGCTTTTGCTCCTGCTTCAGTTTCCATGAGTTCCACGTATTCCACACAACATCACACAATACAAGTTATTCTCTGTTGTTCCTTGTCGTCTGTCTGGAGGACGTTGGCAAGCACGAGCGCATCAAGGGTCGAGTGCACAAAATTATTCCAGTCTCCCAGGGCACTGCGTTCTTGCTTGTGCTTGTCTTTCAGCTAGATCAGATTGGACCGGTCCTCGGTTTGAGCGGGGTTGTCGATGCATCCGAAGTCTTTTTCGTCGGAGGCGAAGTCTCCTTTTGCATTGACTGGCGCCGCAACCGCGGTTGCTGGGAGCAGACAGCAGTCTGGGTTGCAAAGACACCGGCTTAGGTCTTCCTTGAACCTTGCAGTTAGATTGCTTGGGATCATTCAAAAAGCCGCCAAGTCTCGAGAATTCGTGCGAAGCTGTAGCACAGCCGAACTTCTGACAACCGATGTACCATGATAAATCTCGTCGTTGGATTTAGGTGTCTTTTGTCGAGGATTTACTGCTATCTTCAGGCGTTTTTTACTTTTATTGTATTTCCAAGTGCTACTTATGTTGATTTTTTATGTAGGGTTTCACGAGTTTAAGATGTGGGTTGCGAGAATGTGTGTTTCCATTGTCGTTGGATTTTGTGTGTATTTTGTTTCGGTTTTGCCAGCATTTTTCCAGGCGTTTCTGAAAGTGAGGCTCTTTTACAGATGCTATTTTGTTGTTTTTTAATGTAGAGTTTCTGCGTTTAGAATGTAGGTCATGAAGATGTGTGTTTCCACTTGGCTTTCGAATTCTGGGTGTATTTTGTCTAAGCTTTACCACTATTTGTTCCAGGCATTTATGTAAGTGAAGCTTGTTGACAACTACTACTGCTGTTGATTTTTTATGTAGGGGTTTACGCCTTTAGGATTTAGGTCATGAGGCTGTGTGGTTCCAATTATCATCTTTAAATTTTAGGTTGATTTTGTTTGCGTTTTGCCAATGTTTCCAAGCATTTGTGTAGGTAAAGCTTTTTGACAAATACTACTTCTGTTGATTTTTTCTGTAGGGGCTAACGCATTTAGGATGTAGGTCATGAGACTCTCTGTTTCCAATGATTTCAAATTTTAGGTGTATTTTGTCTGGGTTTTGCCCGTATTTTCCAGGCATTTGTGTAGGCAAAGTTTTTTGACCAATACTACTTATGTTGATTTTTTATGCACGGGTTGACGGGTTTAGGATGTAGGTCATGAGGATGTGTGTTTCCAATTGTCTTTCAATTTTGGGTGTATTTTGTCCAGGTTTTACTCCATTTTCCAGGCATTTATGTAAATGAAGCTTGTTGACAAATGCTACTGCTGTTGATTTTTGTGTAGAGGTTTACGCATTTAGGATTTAGGTCATGAGGCTGTGTGGTTCCAATTATCATCTTTAAATTTTAGGTTGATTTTGTTTAGGTTTTGCCAATGTTTCCAGGCATTTGTGTAGGTAAAGCTTTTTGACAAATACTACTTCTGTTGATTTTTTCTGTAGGGGCTAACGCATTTAGGATGTAGGTCATGAGACTGTCTGTTTCCAATGATTTCAAATTTTAGGTGTATTTTGTCTGGGTTTTGCCCGTATTTTCCAGGCATTTGTGTAGGCAAAGTTTTTTGACCAATACTACTTATGTTGATTTTTTATGCACGGGTTGACGGGTTTAGGATGTAGGTCATGAGGATGTGTGTCTCCAACTGTCTTTCAATTTTGGGTGCATTTTGTCCAGGTTTTGCTCCTTTTTTCAGGCATTTATGTAAAGCAAGCTTGTGGACAAATGCTACTGTTGGTTGATTTTTATGTAAAGGTTTACGCGCTTAGGACGTAGGTTACAAGGATCTGTGTTTCAATTGTCGTCAAGTTCTGAGTGTAATCTGTCTAAGTTTTCTCAATGTAATGCACTTTTATTTGCAAATGCTGATTATGTTGCATTGCTTTCTCGATGTATGATTTTACGCGTTTAAGAAGTAAGTGACGAATATGTGTTTTTCACATATGTTTGTTTGTAATTTCACCCTCCAAGCAGCAGTGCGCAGCCGAAGCAAAAGAGCGAGTTGGTCACGCGCAGCACCCCTTTGTAACATTTCCGAAATGAAATTCTATTTCTTTGTTAAATTGTATAATTGTCCTTCTTTTTGCAGTTTTGCCCTCGTGAAGCGCTTTTGTCTGGCTCTCTCCTTTGTGTGTGCTGAAAAGAACGTTTTTTTTGTTGATTGAAGAGCTCCTTGCAGTCGAACAGAAACAAGAAACGCTGCCGTAGATTTGCAAACCTTTCCGAAATTAGATGTATTTCATTTATGCTTCTTTGTTGTTTTTTCACTGTTGGCCCTCTAAAGCGTTTTCGCGTGGCTTCTCTTTTAGTGTGTCAAAAAACATTTTTATGCACATTTTCGGCATGAATGCATTTTTTAAAAAACGCTTTGGATTGGGCATGTCTTTTATGCCTGTTATGCGTTTTCGTGGGGTTTTCTCCTTGTGTGTCTTGCAAGAACGGTTTTATGGATTTTTTCGTTGAACAAAAATTTCGAAAATGCAGCCGTTCCATTTGCAAACTTTGAAGCCTGAGCTTTCTGGAGCATTTTCGCGTTTGCTTTCTGTGTTAAAATAATAGTTTTGCTGTTTTTTCGGCACAGAGCAATTTTAATACTTCCTCGGGTTGCGAGGCGCAACAGTGTTTCCATTGTAAACCTTTCAAAAAATCAGCTGTGTTGGATATCGTTGTTGTTTGTTTTTGATTTTAAGCCTTCTAACCAGTTTTCCTGTGTGTTCTGCTGTGTATGTGGTGGAAAGGATGTTTTTGTTGGAGGTCCAAAAAAAGACTGTGGAGGCCAAGAAAAAGATCCTAAGGGGTTGGAAAAAAGACCCGGGGTCATCTACGAGATGTCTCGGGGCCAGGTAAAAGACTGCTCAAAAGCGAGCGTGGGGGCTGAAAAAAAGATGGAGCTCTTTTTCCGAACCTCCTTCCGGGGTTGGAAAAAAGATGGGGGCCGGAAAAAAGACATATCGGGGTCGAAAACAAGACAGACCAAGTGCGGGGGCTAGAAAAAGACATTTCGGGGTTGGAAAAAAGAGCAGCCCCCAAACCTGGGTTAGAACCTGGGTTTCAAATCTGAGTTCAAACCTGGGTTATAACCTGGGTTTAAACCTTGGTTTAACCCGGGGTTGAACCCAGGTTCGAACCCAGGTTTAACCCAGGTTCAAACCCAGGTTAAACCCAGGTTTCAAACCTGGGTTCCCTGGGTTGTTGTTGTTGTTCCCCCCCCCCGGGGGGAGGGAACCCAGGTTCAAACCCAGGTTCAAACCTGGGTTAAACCCCGGGGGGGGAGGGGACCAGCCTCGAACTCTGGCGGCCGTAAAGTTGAAACCCAGGTTTCGAACATAGAGTTTCCGAACATGGAGTTTCCGAACCGAGTTCGAACTTTTGCATCTTTGCTTCTTGTTCTCTCATTTTTGCTTTCTTCGCAAAACCCCCATTAAGCAATTTCGTGTGGCTTCTTGATTGAGTTTGTGGTTTCTGTCATTGTAGTGCTCTCAGTTAGTTTTCTTCGCAAAAACCGCCCACAAAGCGATTCTGTGTGGCTTCTTCTCCTGGTTTGGTAATTGTTGGTGTTCGAACCGAGTCTAGAACCTGGGGTTGGGCGGTTCGTTTGTCCGCGGCTTTAGCATTCTCGTAGGGACTTCATGCCCCTTCTAAGGCCCTTGAGAAGAAAGACTCCTCATTGACAATCTTTTTCTTTATTTTGTCTTTCTTTGATTTCTTCGCAAAAATCCACAAAAAGCGGTTTCGTGTGGCTTCTACTTCTTTTGTGGCAGGGACTGGTCATTGGCAGCCTTTTTGGCAAGCTTCTAAAAACAGCGGGGGGGTTGGGGGGAGGGTGGAGTTCCCGAACGTTCGAACGCTCCGGAGGGGGGGACGACTTCCAGAACCCGAGGTTCCAACATGGAGTTCCCCCCGGGTTCCAACACAGAGTTCCCGAACCCAGGGTTCGAACTCCCTGGGGACCGGGGGGGGGGGGGGGGGGGTTCCGAACCCCAGGGTTCGGACTTTCTGAGAAAAGGGGAGGAGTTCCCGAACCCGGGGTTCGAACATGGAGTTCTCTAAGCCCCGGGTTCGAACATAGAGTTCCCAAACCCAGGGTTCGAACACAGAGTTCCCGAACTCCGGGTTGAGCATAGAGTTCCCGAACCCAGGGTTTGAACATAGAGTTCAAACTCCGGTTCAACCTGGGTTCCAAAAGTTTGAAGGGTTCAGCCCTGAGTTCCGGAGTTATATGTTCTCCTCCCCCCCACTCCGGGCCCCCCGGGAGTTTGAACCTTGGGTTCCGGAACACTCCAAAAATCTATGCTCTTTTATATCTTTCAAGCTGCTCAAACCTCTGCTTTCACACTCTTGCCTTCCACCGTTAGAGAGTTACAGTGTGAAACACATCGTTATCTTCGTTTTCATTTCTGCTATGGAGCGTTCTCCTTGTCTCTCTTCACAAGCCAGTCACTATGCAGTAGAAATCGCCTTTTTTATCTTTAAGATCAAGTTCTCTTTCTACTACAAGGTTTTGGACCCAACCAACACCTAGCCTCTTTATCTCACCACGCAGGTAAAGCTGTTCCAGTTAAACTTTCAGCAGCGATTGCAGCTTTTCGGACATTACCGTCGTTACTCAGAATCGTAAGTTAATGCACATATATGAGCTCTTACGCCTGCCTCCATATTAGGGCTCCCAAAGACCAGGGCGGCGCAGAATACATTGGGCTGAATCATGCATGACACAGGCAGCGAACCGCATTGACCACTTGCTCCCAGACGCTGCTCCGACTCATGACCTGATTGCACATGCATTTTTCAAAATCTTTAATCACCAAGATTTATCCACAGTGCAAACGTCTCCGGTCTGGTTGGATGGAACACTTTTCTTTTCCGGAAAGTTCATCCACGCTGGCACGACTGTCAATGTTGGGCGAGGGTAGTGCATAAACCTCCCAAGCGTGCTGAATTTAAGCTACCAGTAACTGAATTAGAATAGGTTGAATGGGCTCGTTTTCGAAGAGTCTTCCGCGCTCGAAAAGAAAATGTCCGTTGTCAATCCTGGGTGGACGCCATTCTTAATCCGCATTTGCATTGTACCATTGATTGCACCACGGAAGTGTGAGCAGCGACATCTATTGGTCTTGCGCAGACTTTGACAGAACGTTTCAACCTATTTTAATTCGCTTTGTTTGGTTGCGTTTTCCAGCCATTTGTAGGGACCGAGCGCAGTAGCCGCTGTCACCGAGGCCCGCAGACGCCAAAAAAAATGTGGCTTCGTGAATGAATGTCGATGTGGAGCAGCAGAACCAAGTTGAAGAAGACACCGGTTTCACTGTGTTTATGTATGCCAGCTTAGATCTGATTCCTCGCAGCTTCGTGCAGGCAGTGCGCGGGTTTGTTACAGCTTATTGGGCATCAACATGACCGACATCGAACTTACCGACACTGTCATGGAAACACAACTTCCCAGTTTTCGTTTATTTTTTGTATGTAGACATATTCGCGGTGACCACTGTCATGATCTCGTAGCCTGGTAATCGAATGGTGGATTTTCTGCATCAGCCGTTGTCATTTGGTGCATGAAGGTTGTGGAACATAAACTCACCAAGGCATGTATTGAGCGAACTTGATCAAGGCGTTTGCAATGCGATGCGGGTGCACACTAAACACACACACGCCGGTGCACTCAATCATTGCTTCGATTTTGTTGAGCGCGAGTGGTACAAACAAGGGGTTTCGATTGAGTGCAATTATTGTTTCCTCATGGCAGTTTGTCATTCGACACCACAACCATGACCCGTATCATGCCTAAAGTTGTTGCATGAACCACGAAGATCGGCTTGGCACTTACAAAGTTGGTGTATTGGACAGCAGTTTGTGTGCGTCATGCCTGGTGCCGTCGCAGAGCTTGCTTGTGCTTGCAACGGAGGACAGCTCGCATGAAGTCCGGATTTGCGTATGCGGCGGCTATCAGCTCTTGTGCTCTCTACTGCCTGAATGGCCGCTTGGACGGCACATTTTCACAGTGGGCTCCATTAGTTGCAATTGTCACTGTTCTGAGAGAATTAGGTGAGCTCCTGCAGGCGGGATGGGATGTTGTTTGCGCCAGTGACGGGAGCGAAGTGTGGGGTTTTCTCGTGTGGAGATTCGTCAATCTCTGTGACGTCAGAAGTTTCTCGATGTTTGTCGGGCAGGGCTATGAACTCGAAACGATGTTGAACGGTTCACGTCGATGGAGGCACTTCAGCGCGCTGCTCCTGGACATCATGCTTCGCCCCTTCTGAACTTGGCGCTGTGCCACCTCGGGGGCCTGTTGCTGATTGGACGAATTGGGAATTCGGCAGGATGGAGAAGCATCCACGCGGCATGGAACGAACAAACGTATGTGAATCCGTTTATCAGGTCTGGGGGCTCCAAACTTGAATCGCTGAGTGGACAGTATGAAGCCCCTCCCAGATGAGGTTCGTCCCGCATTTTGGATGCGTGGGCACTTCAGAGGCCGGAGTTTAAATGAGTCCTGTGCCGTCTGTCCGGAGCCCGACATTCAGTGGAAGCATCATGTTTTCGAAAGCTTGGCAGGAGCCCGCCGGGCAGAGCTCAGCGGCCTTTACCGGCGTACGGGCTGCACTGTCGCAGCGGCCACGGCTAGCCGCACTGCCCTTTGCCGCCAACCTGCAAACGGGAAAAATTTCAGAAGCGACTTGTGTCTGAGGGCAGACTCGTGGTGCCTTGTGTCATTTCCCGAGGCTCTTCTTCTGATGGGCTACAACTATGCCTGGCTGCTGAGCGCCAGCTTTATTGACCTGCGCCTGACGAACGCGGTCTTCCAAGTTTCCACAGCTCCTCGGATGTGTCTTTCCTTCATGCCATGTGCTGCAACACTGTGGAGTCTGAACGTTTGATTTCGCCTTGTCGACATCATGACAACGGTTGCACTTGAGGCCTTAGTGTACGTTGCGAGCGTGCAGCTCTTTGGCGAGGCTCTTGAATTTGGTTGCATTCCAGAGCTCAGCAGACAGCCACATGCCAAGCTCGACTGTTTCGTGGTAGATCCTGGTTCGATCGCACACTCGTAGTCGACACATTTTGTGTGTTTGAGATCAACAGTACAATTAGCAAGGCAGGCAGGGCAGGCGCCTTTGCACAGTTGCAGAGAGGCTGTTTGCCTAGAACGCTTGCTTGGCGTGCTGCTCTCCCTTGGAGGCCGACTTTTTGAATGCATTGTGGCGGTTTGTTTTCGCCTGCTCGTGTATATGCTGGACTTGTTGGTGTGGGTTAGTCGGTTAGTGAATTGGAATCAGCATGTCTTGCCTCGCTACCTCTGCCGATCACGAGATCTTTGGAAGCTTCCAGGATCCTTCATAGCCAGTGGCCTGAAGTGGGATGATGCCAGTGACGAACTTAAGATTACTTACGACTCCATGCTCACGCATGCTTCATCTGTCAGTGCGAGATCGGCTCATGTGGAGGGTCTGCTTCATGCATTCTATATTGCTTCCGAGGCAGCACAGTTCCCCGTCATCAACACCAGGTCACTCGACTGGTAGACGCTTGGCCACAAAGCAAGATGGAAGTGTGGCAGGTTGTTGGTTTCGCCCTGGCCCTGATTGCAGCGGTGGGCTACACGGCCTACCAGGTGGCAGGGCAGCATGCAAGTGCTTAGGTTAATTCTGTTTCGCCAATTGTCATGCTTACGAGGGTCTCCTGGGTGGTTTACCTGGCCATGCGCAGCTGTGAAGGTGCTGTTTCGTTGGATCTTCGGCCACCTGAAGCAGAATGTGTCCTTCCTGGCGCATTTCTTCTCCTGGATTAGCTTGTGGCAGCTTTGCGGAACAGGATTGCCGAAGAAATTCCTAAATCGGCTTGCCGAGGCTGTTGTCATTCCTGTCACACTTGCATCGGTTGATGTGCTTGAGCCCGCAAGCCCCAGAGATACAAGTGAAGCAAGATCTGTCGAGTCGCGGTCGAGTCGCACCGAGAAGCTGAATCAGAGATGGCTGCATCGTCTACCATGTGACATGTGCCCACAAGGCTACTGAAGCCATCGCATTTGCATTCACTTTGCCACTGGCGCGAGTAAACGCAGTGCTCAGGCATTTGCTCATAATTCTTCCGCTGGTTCTGGCCGCGCATGCTGCTGGCATCGAGCAGTTGCAAGTGTTTGGCCCCTACCGGAACAGGATGTCAACAGTGCTCCAGTAGGGTGCAAGAGCTTTTCCAGGCCGCATGGGCTGTTCGCTCTCGTGGGTACCGCCGTGTCCGCGCTGATCGCTTCGACTGTCAACGTGACTTCCAGCGTTTGGACGTGTCTTGTCTACCATCGGTGCCCATTGAGCCTTCGCCCCTTCAGGTACTTTATCTGTGCATAGTCCAGGCCCCAGGCGTGAGCTTGATCACATCTTCACAGCGAAATGAAATGTCCTGAGAAACTGATCCGGCCAAGGTTATGTGGGGATCCCCAATGCTGCTTCCGAGCACTTCTGCCTTGTCCGTGCCGCTGACGGTGGCTCAGCGTAGCAAGGCAGAAGTTATCAGCGTTTGATTCAGCTTTCTCGTCCAGGTGGTGCTGGACATCGTCATCCACAATGAGCGACCCGAGCATCTCGAAATGATTGGCCAGGGGCTGGTGCTGCTATCTGTTGCCGCTTGGCTTGCGTCCACGGAAAGTTTAGTCAGTCCCATCCTGGGTGCAAAGATGTAGACGGGTTGACCGGTTGACCCAGGTTCTTATCATGCAGCTTTACAAGGTTGTGCTGCCCAAGGGGCTTTCGCTCAAGAGTGAAATGATGTCTGTGTGAGCTCCAGCCGAGCTGCAACGACACCGTCGCTTCCAAGTTTTCACCCGGGCTGCGACTTTGCAGTCGAGTGTTTAGCTCGCGCCATTTATTGGTGTGTAGAGCGTCGTTTGCAAGCACTTTGAGTTCCCAAAGTGTCTGTGCTTCCGAGATCGCCCTCGCTTTCTCTGGTGCTGTCGTCGAGAGAAAACGATCTAAGCAAGCACAAGCCTGCGGCGAACGAAGGCTGCCAGCGTCTAGTGGAGTCTTGCCGAAGCCCTGCCCTGTGCAGCTTTTCTGGTTCAGACGGAACCCAGTAGCCACGATGAAACAGCGTTTGGGAGCTTGGCACAATGCCTCTTGTCATGTCTGAGAAAAAGACCGACAGATCCGGCCTTCTGTCTCTTCTTCTGCGAGGTCCGGGACAGAGGCCGGGAAGGCCGAGCCACCGAAGCAGCGCGCCAGGAAGGGCCCAAGCCTCGGAAGGTTCGGGTTTTCGCCAGAAAGGGCCCTAGAAGACGCTCCCAATTCTTGGATACATCCCGCAACCGCCCAAACATCAGCAGCTTCAGTACCATCACAAGAGTACCACCAGCTATCAACCTGAAGCCAATGCCGTAGTTTCTAAAAGACCGTGACACGGAATGTGTACGATGGGATAGAAGGGACAGTGGGTCCGAGGTTGGGAAAGTGCTTAGTGGCTCGTACGTTCTGCTTGTGCTGAGTGTGCTCATTGACCTGGCAGTCGGACAACTACTGTGGAAGGACTTCTAGCATGGCGTCTTGATGTGTGTGCGCTTCTGCGATTGGCATCAGCATGGGTTTCCAAGGTCGCAAGTTCCATCGTCAGGGCACTACGGCGGGTGTGCTTCATCCGCAGTCATGTCGGCTTTGGTATTGCGATGATTCTGACTGTTTAGAGAGTGTCTGTTGGCTGCAGCAATTTTTCCCAGCCTGTTCAAGGGGCTGGAGTATTGAAAAGACTTCTGACTTGCACTGTTCTGTGGGCTGATTGGGGAGAATTTCTTCTGCGCTTCCCGCAAGACAAGAAAGGTCTACACCGAGAAAGATCTGAAGCTGAAGGGAGACGGCCTAGTGGCTGCTGTCGCCTACAGCCAGCCAGCTGCACTTGATGCACTCCTTCGGGCGTGAGTCAGTAGCGCAAGAAGTGTAGGACTGTATGAAGGATTCGAAGCGTGGGGTTATTGGGTGATGGCTCTAGGTTGAATCGAGCGTGTCTTTAGAAATCGCCACGTCAGGGGCTTGTACTGAAGTCTGGTGAGTCATGGGTTTGGCTTGGAAATCCTGAGGGCAAGACAGAAGCAGCCTTGGATGCTTAACATCTTCTGGAAACCTGCAAGGCACAACCCACGCCTGTTGCTGAGGCGGCTGCTTTCTGAACGTGGCCCTGGTCGCCATCGCAGCTTGGTTTGGAGATTTTGGAGTCTGGAGCAGCTCCTCTCAGTGAAGCCGTGGTGGCCTTCCTCCGAGGTGCTCAATGCATTGTGGATGCTGATCGACACGGAGTGGAACCATGTCAACCTCAGAGGCGAGGATGTTCGAGCATCCTTTCTTGCAAGCTCAAAAGACTCCGCTGCAGTCTTCAAGCTTAACAGCTTGACAGACCCAGGCTCCGATGGTCGGCGTCCCCTGCAAGATGTCAGCGGTGTCGTCGAAAACCTTTTCTGTAGTGTCTTGTCTACGGATTGGCGGCCTGCTCTGCAGCAATCCGGTCGGAGCCTCCGTCCTGTCCCGTGGAACCTGGCAAGGTTTCTTCAGCATCGAGATCCTAATTCGTTTTTTTGGATTCAAGCGCTGGCGTTTTATGTTCGAGGACTGTCTTGCACTCATGACCACTTCAGAAGGAGAACGCAATGTCACGCCTCGCTTCTGCAAGGGCGGAATTGTATCAATCGGCTAATCGGGTACCTGGTCGGTAGCTTCAACAGACGCTTTCTGTGCCAGGATTCGTGGTTTCTCTTTGTCCACCACCCAGTTGGTGGCTTTAGCAGAGATCGTTTGCTGCTCCCAGCATACAGTATTTTCGAAAGGCCCAGGGTGCATGTGATTTTGCTTTCCGAGGATGCCTTGTTAGTGACTTTGATGGTGTTGGAAACATGGATTTTGCCACTTGATCTGCAAGATGAGCGGTTCGTGCACAAAGTCACGAAGTCCCTATACATGAAGCTAGCAGCACACCTTTCCTGACACTGTTTTTCAGGCCGCTTCTCAGTCAGCTTGACAGCAGCTTGAATTCCGATGCGCTCGATAATGTTAAGCTCATCAGGCGACTGCATGTGATTTCAAGAAGTGACAACGGCTTTTGCTGAGCTTCTGTTGACCGTGCTCTGCAGGCTGTTCCGCATGTACGGCTCCCAGCATTTGTGACCATGTCCTTTTCTTAATTTTACAAGGCCACAGGTGAGAAAAACGTGTTTGGAAGGCTTCGCCTGGGCCGTATTTTCCGGATCCTTCGCTTCCATCCCGAGATGAGGCTGCTTGTAAAAAGCCGCTCGGCAGAAGTTCCCTCGCCCCATCTAAAGGTTGCCCAAGACAGAAGACTTGTCAAGGGACTGATTTGGCACCCGCCAAGCAAGCTGTGTGCGTGTGTGTGTGTGTGCGTGTGTGTGTGTGCGCGTGTGTGCGTGTGTGCGGTTGTGTCTGCAGAAGCTTGTGTGAGAGACGACCTCGAGTCGAGTTATGGTTTCAACGCATCCTGAAAGGATGAGAACCGACCTGACTTTGAAAGTCAGTTGTAGAAATTCTACAACTCACCAGTATTCTTTCCAGCTGAGGCATCGCACGTGCCATGAATGCCGTTTTCAACATTCTCTTCTTGCTGGTCCTGGTTGTGACCTCAGCCCCATGCTGCCAGCCTAGACTGTTCCTGTCCTGATATTGTGACTGAGACTGAAAGAGAGATAGGGAGAGAGAGAGAGAGAGAGAGAGAGAGATAGATTCTGAGATAGGCTCGCGCTGGAAAGTGGGAGCCGAGAGAGCTCGAATCAAGCTCCACGAATCTGGTGGGTAGCGCCGCATTGCTCTTCTGCCCATGCGTGCTGGAAGGAAGGAAGGCAGCAAGCCAGCTAGGCATGACAGACTGGCGCTTGAGCTTCTTGCAAGACGGGTAGGTGGTGCGAAGCTCGGCAGAAGAAGAAAACGCGAAGCGAAAGGTGCTGGGACCATTAGAGACTTCCCTTTCTTTCCGATTGCAGCGCACACAGTCAGACTGAAAGCCCCAAAGCAATCTACGCAAAAACACATATAGGGTGGGCGGGCCTGCTTGAAGCACGTGTGGCACGGGACAGGGCGAGAGAGAGAGGAGAGAGCTGTGCCCGTACCCGCGGAGTGGCGACAAGACAGAAATAGCGGTGCAAAGAGCTTTGATCGGAGAGTTTGCTGGACAGGTGACATACCTCTTCGCGATCATTTTCACGTCTCAGTGCCTCGTCATGCAGACACAGCTCGTTTTTGGCTTTCGACTTCTATTAGATCATAAGGCTGCTCGAAGGCATTTCCAAGTTTTGCCCACTCGGATTGAACATCCGTGGTTTGTTTTTTGGCCAATGCATCTGCGTGTCAACATCGGGGTTGCAACCTTTTGAACATTCCTTTGCGAGCGGAGTTCTGGGCGGTTTAAGCCTGCTGTGCAGATCATGTATGGTGCAGGCTCGCCAAACCCGGCACAAAGGCAGTGAATGTGGACCTGGACGAGGCACGCTGAGAGCCAGCTTGTTCAGTGCCAACGAAACACGGGGGTCTTAAGGGAAAAGAGTGAAGGCCGAAGCGAAGCAACTTTTTGCAAATATGGTCTCGTCGATGCTGTCCCTGCAGCTTGGAAGCATCCACCGACTTGAAACACTTCTGTAGCAGGGATGTATCTTGGCATGCATATTTGTCACTGGCAATGACCAGGTTCACGCATGGCGTGCCGGATGCCCAGGGACCAAACTGCCGGCCTGTGCAGACTTCGGGAACGTCTGAGGCTTGCAGATGAGCTGGCCTTTGCCTTTTTGGTCATCAAGGAGGATATCGCATAGATCTTGCATAGGGATTCCGCACACCTGCGCGCACACGCACACACACACACACACAATCACACACACATGCGCAGAGACACGCGCACTACATGCTGGCAGGACAGCGTTCCCCTTTTCTGGCTGTTTGCGGTCTTCGTTGTATTCTCTGGGATCACCCTGCTCAACATGCTTATAGGCGTGCTGTGTCAGGCCATCAACCGAAGCATGATGTCTACCTACTCGTAGGAAGCAGTCTGTTTCATTCTGCTGTCTTCACTGCTGTATTTCTTGCAACCGTGCAGCCACCTGCAGGTTGTGGCGGACAACTCGCGCGAGCATGAAAAGAACCAAATATTGGTGGATCTGAAGTCGAGCTTGGAAGATGCATTTGAGGCAGCTTGGTCTTAGCGCCGCAGTCGTGAAAACATCGCACCGTGCCCTTACATGCCGTTACAGATATGATATGAATATATGTATATACATGTACAGTATGTATGTATGTGTGTATGTGCGTATGTATGTAAGTACATATATACATATATCTATCTCTCCCTATATAGAAGAAAGTGTATATGGTGTAAAAACACACGCGATATAATCGACAATGTCTTATCAAGTAGTATGCGTATATGCATGTACAATCACATACACACATGTATGTATACATTCATATACACAGACATATACCGTTTCATCATTGTGCTGTATGATGTTATCTTACAAATATATGCTATGCTGTTGGTTACACATTATGTAGTTTGTATCATGTAGCATATAGATATTTGTGAATAATGTATACTATATGTTTTGTGTTACTTGCAGCATACGTATTACAGAATATATTCTATTACACATTCTTTCTCAGACAATGTACAACCTAGCACTTGATGTTATTTTATAGTTTCCCATTCACATATAGCTCTATGTATATGTTTCTGAGCATGTATACAAGCGCACATTCATATGTCTATATATATATATGTGTATCTTTCTGAAACATGTGTATATACATACATACATATACATATATATATATAGCTTTTACATATACATAAGACATGTTTTTGATGTTGTTAATGTTATATGAATATGTTACCTGTTCGATTTTTCAATCTTGTATACAGTTCAATGTCATACATCATGTTATGGTGAGTTAGTGCATCATTCTACACTATATCTTCTCATATCAAGTCATATCACTTAGTACTATATTTTGCTTGCACCAGTATATACGTTTACACCAGCTCTCATCATTCTATACTGTTTCATGTCATTTGTATTCTGCATCTGTCTATCATCATATATTACACAAAGGTATCTTGTTTTTTAGCATCGCATGTTTGTATATCACATCAGACTGTAGCAGGCTATATTATGTTATAATGCTGTTTATTGTACCAAATTATACTGTGTTCTTACAATGTGGTGAATTTGGCAGTATTATGTCATTTTCCATGGTGTCATTAAGTCATCTTATGCTGTAGCAGGTTGTCATATATGTATACATATATAAAATTCCTGAAATTGCACTAAGTTAGATTATACGTTATGATTTGTAATGTTATGTTAACCTATGTCGTATGACTTTGCATTGTTGTTTATTATGCTGTCTTTTATTGTATTGTGTTGTACTGTATTCTGCTATGTTTCATTCTGCTACACTGCATCCGGTAAATACTTGTTTCTGCTGTAAATAAATGCTGTTGCATAGTATATTCTATATACATAGTTGGGTGTAAATGTAGCTTCACCCACACACTCCCATGCAGATGCGTATATATACATATGTGCACACATGCATGCACATACGTTCATTCATACTGGCGAGCGTAGAAACATATACATCCGAAAATGAAATGATGAGTGCGTAAGCAGATAGACGAACAAACTACAAAACACATCAGCATAAGCACAACAACAGGTCACATTAGTACGGAGATTGCTACATGATACGAACGAACGTGTAATGGGATACTTCCGTCAGTAGACACACTCAAATAGAAAACGTATGCTCGCATGTGTGTATACACACATATACATATATATATATATATATGTGTGTGTGTGTGTGCATGTAGGCCCTGTCCTCCTGTTCGTAGTAAAAGTCACGACTTTGCAGCGTCGAAAGTGAAAGTGAACATATATATATATATATATATATATGTATGTATGGTACCCCCTAAAACCCACGCCTTGATGTTCATTACAACGAGCCTAATCTTCGACGGAGAAAAGCTGCAGCTCAGGGTCTGGAATTCGGGGACTCGCGACGCAGAATACTGTGATGCTCGAAATTTGTTCCATTGCTGGCAGTACATATGCTTCCGCGACACGAGATGCTTTGATGCTGTAATCCGCAGTTCCACTGACTCCAAAGGGTATGCTTTGACATCGCAAAACTACCTGCAGCACAACTTGTTTCATTTAGCGCGAGCTTGTGAGGCTTTGGACACCTCTCAAGATGGAACCATCAGCGACTTGCTTGATTTGTCAAGTGCCGTTTCCGGCCAGCGCTGCTCGTGCAGTGAAGCTGCGAATCTGCATGGTGCTACATCTCGGAAGGCTGTGCGCACTGGGTCTCAGGTGAAGAGGAGTTTAAACAGATGAAGACAGATCCCAACGTCATGGAGATCTTCTTTCGGCCATCTGACAACTTTAAAGCACACCGAACCTTGGAGTCGTTTGATTCCTGCAGAGGCTGGGCATGGAGGAGTCAGCGATTATCCAGCGATTAGATCACATGCAGGCCCAGGGGGTTCAGGGTTCAGGGGCCCAGGGGGCCCAAGGGGGCCCGGCCGGGGGAGCAGTGGCACAGCCTTCAGTTTGGAGAAATATCCCTCGTGTCAGCCGTCAGCCTGGCGAGGAGACCATCTTCGCTGTTGCCAAGAGCGATAATGCAGACGAGTCCTTCCTCACCGACTCCAAGGATCCGGCCTCCAGGAGGCCGCCATGGGCCATGGCTGTTCACTGCTTTGTTACTGTTGGAAGCAGTTCTACAGTGATCCCCTCACCCCAGAGCAAGTTGTTTTTTCCGTTGCAGACGCCTGGTGCTTAAGCTAATTTCGGCTTTTCTTCTTGCAAATCTACTGTTTGGGGCATTCCAGACCAACCTGCAGCGTCCACTTCGTTCCCAGGCCTCCGAGCATGTCCTTCAAGCAGTTTACGGATCAGGCACATCCAAGTACTTTCAGCACATCTTCCTGGGTGCTGAACGAGAAGAGAGAATTCGGAATGCACCTGTCAGGTCGTCGATTTGCAAATGAACACATCTGCAGGGGTGTCTGTCTCGGCACAGGTCGAGTGCATTCAGGTCGATGGTGCTCCTTCAGATTTGACGACTGCTGTTTCTGGACTGGGCGGCTGAGGTGCTGGATGTTCAAAGCTTGGCGGCCAAGGCAAGGGCCCAAGGCGACTTTCGAAAATCTTTTGACCCCAGCCATACTTAGTGCCATTGTGCGGCAAGAGATGTCATCAAACGACATGTGACATAGCACGACTGGGAAGAAGTATAGTATGATTACGGAGATGAGCATGTCTCACTACGGAGCATCGTTTGCATCAGCGCCGTCTTTAATCCAACAGTGGCCTTTGTGGATGCGACCCTTTACTAGTGCTGCTGGTGCTGTGACGGCATGGGAGCCGTAGCCGAAGGACCAGTGCACCTAATGCACTCCGGTCTCAGTATCAGCGAAAACAGAGGAGCTGCATGTTATTATTACATCATTTGTGTCTTTCCATCTCCTTCTCATTCGCTACATTTTCTTTATTTCTTTTTTTCTTTCTCTCTCTCTCTCTTTCTGTCTTTGTTTTCGTGTTTAGCTCAGGTTCGTGCAGAGGACCAGAAAATCTTGCGACTGGGAAAAATTCATGCGCCGTCAGGTCTGTTTCGCTTGTACTTGTGGCAAAGCTGGAGTCCTCAAGATGAGGACGGCGCTAAGCCGTTTGGAGCCGGACTTGCGCCGCCTTCTTCAAGTGCCTGTGGACACACAGGCACACCAAGATCCTTGCAAGGTCTGATGTCAGAGTCAGACTCAGCAGGCCATTCTAGGCCCTGTGCTTTCTCGTTCGGTAGCCAACTCCCGTCTCACGGCTCGCGGCATTCGCCGCCTGACTCTCCGGCGTTTCGAGGAGGCAAAGACCTTGTCTTCCTCGGGGGTACAGACGCTGAGCCTCGCGGGAGAGGACTGCCTTGGAGAGAGTCAAGGTCCAGACTGTGCTTGCCCAGCTTGACAGGACTCAACCTCCGTGAGATTACAGTCAACTCCTCCGGCATGTCCGGGCCAGGCGGAAGCATAAAGATGTGTGATGCCTACAGCGACCAAGCATCGCCAATGCCAGTCTTCTGATCACAGGCTCCACGCGCAGAGCCTCTGCCCGAGCAGTCCGTGACAGCCCGAGAGCCACAGGATGGTCGCCAAGTAGGATCTTCTCTCGGATCCCAGGTTCATCTTCCGGGTTCAATGGAAAGCCGAGGGCTCCAAGCCGAGACGAAGGCCGTGCCGCGTGCCGTTTGATCTTCATGGTGACGGCATGCTAGGACCGCTAGGGGGCTTTGCGGGGGATAGAACGAAGTGCGAACCCCAAAATCTAACAGTGGCTGATGGGTGGGAAGCCCATTTCAGAAGAGAGGATACGTAGAAACCTTAAACGCGAAGCGGGCTTGCTGGATCCCGGTTGATGGGTGACGGAGCAGAAATACTTGCGAAGATGATGTGCAGCTCTTAAAATGGGAGCAAAGCCAAAACTCTCGAAAGAGATAATGGGTAAACCTTAAACCTTGCCCATCTGGGGCGGGGTGGGGAAGAGATGTCCCAACAAAAGTAGGATTGCCTGCGTAAATTGGTGTATGGTTTAAGGTAAGCCCATCATCTCTTTCGATGGTTTTGGGCTTGCTACCGTGCTGCCCATGAACCCTTGTTAGAGTGGGGGTTCTCGGAATCCAATAACACAGTTTAGGCTTCCATTTGGCTAAACATCATTTCTTTCGCGGGATCTGGCTTTGCCACCCGTCCACAAACTAGCAGCCTCGTTTAGGGTTTAAGGTCTGCCCAGAATGTCTTTTGATGGCTTTTGCCTTTGTCAGCCATCAACCCCTACTGTGGCAGATGTTTTGGAGTTCTCGGGATTCAGCAACCTCGTTGAGGGTTTAAGGTCTGCCCATCATCTGTTGTGAGGGTTTTGGGCTTGCTACCATGCTTCCCATCAGCCGTTGTTAGAATTGGGGTTCTCGGAATCCGGAAACAGGTTTAGCTTTCGGGTTTGCTACTTATCATCTTTTTTGAGGGTTTTGGCCTTGCCGCCCATTAACCCAACGAGATTTTGGGGTTCCCGGGATCCTGTAGCCTCGTTTAGGGTTTAAGGTCTGCCCATCATCTCGGCTCGCTACCGTGCTAATCCATGAACCCTTGTTAGATTTGGGGTTCTAGGGATTCAGAAACCTCGTTTGGTTTCAGTTTTAGTACCACATCATCTTTTATGGGGTTCTGGCCTCGCCATCCATCTACCCTATTCAGATTTTGGGGTTCCTGGGATCCAGCAGCCTCGTTTAGGGTTTAAGGTCTGCCCAGCACGCCTTTTGATGGCTTTGTCACCCATCAATCCCCAGTAGATGTTTTGGAGTTCTCGGGATTCAGTAACCTCGTTTAGGGTTTACGGTCTGCCGATCATCTCTTGTGAGGGTTTTGGGCATGCGACCGTGCTAGACATGATCCGTTGTTAGATTTCGGGTTCTCGGAATCCAGTCATCCAAGTTAGGTTTATTAGTTGTGCTACCCATCTTCACTTTTTGACGATTCTGGCTGTTCCTGGGATTCAGTAGCGTGGTTTAGAGTTTAAGGTCTGCCCAGCATGCATTGAGGGCTTTTGGCTTTGCCAACCATCAACCCCGAGTAGATGTTTTGGAGTCCTCGTGATTCAATAACTTGGGTTTAAGGTCTGCCCGTCATCCCTTGAAAGAGTTTTGGGGTGACCGTGCTACACATCAACCCTTGTTAGAGTTGGGGTTCTCGGAGTCCAGTAACCCAGTTTGAATTCATCCCTTTCGAGGGTTCTGGCCTTGCCACCCATCAACCCCGATCAGGTTTTGGGTTTCCTGGGATCCGGTAGCCTCGTTTAGGGTTTAAGGTCTGCCCAGCACGTCCTTTGAGAGCTTTTGGCTTTGTTATGCATCAGCCCCTAGTGGATGCTTTGGGGTTCACAGTGCTCAACAAGGGCTTCAGGTCTGCCCGTCATCTCTTGTGAGGGTTTTGGGCTTGCTCACCCAGGAACCCATGTTAGATTCGAGTTTCTGGGCTCGTTTCAGTTTACCACTCATCATTTCTTGTGCGGGTTCTGGTATGGAACCCAAGAAGATTTTGGGTTTCCCGGGATCCGGTAGCCTCGTTTAGGGTTTAAGGTCTGCCCAGCATATCTTTTGAAGGTGTTTGGCTTTGTCACCCATCAACCGCGAGTAGAGCTCTGGAGTTCTCGGGATTCAGCAACCTCGTTGAGGGTTTAAGGTCTGCCCATCATCTCTTGTGAGGGTTTTGGGCTTGCTACCATGCAGTGCTACCCATCAGCCCTTGCTAGAGCGGGGGTTCTCGGAATCCTTTAACCCCCGTTTAGGTTTCAGTTTTACTAGCCATGATCCCTTTTGCCAGATCTGGTTTTGCCGCCCATCAACCCAATGAGATTTAGCGGTTCCTGGGATCCAGTAGCATCAGTAGCCTCGTCTAGTGTTTAAGGTCACCCAAGGCTGCCCAGCATGTCTTTTGAGGGCTTTCGGCTTTGTCGCCCTTCAATCTCGGAATTCTCATTTAATTGGAAGAGCATGTTCTCATGCCCCAATCAAAAAAGCTTCTTGTGTGTTGTTGGACAGGTTCCAGAGCAGGCCTCGGACAAGGAAGCCCTCGAGCTGAGAGAGGATTGGCTTCAGGAGGCTCGATTGCGTCTTTCTTTGAGTCAATGTGCAGGGTGTGTCAATGGCTGCAGGTGCCCACTGAGCTGCTTCTCTATATACTGAAAGCAAGAGCCGGGCCAGACATGATCTCATGAGCGCAAGGCTGGAGGGGAAGGTTTCCTTGGGTCCGCTGTCCAAGCCAGAAGGCGTTAACAGTTCAGAACAGGTGCGCCGCATCATCTCATCAAGACGGTCGTTTATCGTGCACCATCCACTACGGATGTTTCGAAGCCAAGCAGATAGCAGAGTCACAGAGATGTGCGTGGTGCCTTTTGGTATGCGGTAGGCATGCTGAACTCTTTTCGGATCGCACTTGACCTTGCAAAGCCTCGGTGAACATGCTGGCCAACTTTTTCTGAGACGAAGACACCGAAAAAGGGATGTGATTCCTCTTGTCTTCGATCGGACCCAGGCAATGGCTATGGAGAGGTGCTCTCTCTGTCGTTGGTCCGTGCAAATGTGTGCCTGATTTGCGAGCCCAGTTCCTTGTGAGGCTGGCTGTGTTACGTCCTAGCAGGCAGAATCAGGTCCAGTCGTTAGACATGGATGTTCGCATCAGGTGCTAACATTTGCCATCTCCTCTAGTGCGGAGGTTGATCTCACACAGGTCTCACCGTGTTTGCAGAAATGGCTTCGTGAAGACAGCAAGTCGAGGTCTGCAAGTAAGCATCATAGATAAGTAGCCAAGAGCTCATCGCAGGATGTCTTCATACAGTCCGAGTCGTTTGAGAGGGGTGCAGCTTTACCGGCTCCCACAAGTTTCGGACGCACCTCCAGAATCTCAATAGGACACCAGGGCTTCCGTCGCAGTGCGCAGGATCCGTGTTGCCATGATGTCTGGTTTCGTACGGCTTGCTAAGGTTGCCCTGAGCATTTATTTAGCGCAAGTGGATGCCTCCACTTATTCCCTATGGCTTCTCTCAGGAGAAGCCGCGCCTTGTGCACGAAGTGCAGGAAGGAGCAAGCCGATCCAGGGCGTGCATGCAAACGAAAACACAGCAGCGCTGCAGGCTGCTTGAAGGGGAAATTAAGATACCGAGAGAGCTTGAAGAAGACACGGAGTCGCGGCCAAAAAGTTGGGGCTCAAGCTGATAAGCTGAGCTCACTCGCAGAGGTAGGCGGGCCTCGGTTCTGAAGTGAAAGGAAGGCTCGGATTCGGACCGTACATTCGGGGCACTAGATGCCCGGACGCCTGTCTGGCCTTCAGGATGCGGCTGACACTCGAGCTGCTGCAGCAGGCGCCGCAGTCGCTGAACCCTGCACTGCACCGGCAGCTGCTGCTTAGAGGATTCAAGCGGCCTGGAAGCACGTGGTGTTTCATCCGCAGCTTCAACACATACTGTTTCAATTCATGTTTGCTCAGGATCCCCACAATCGCAACTTGACTGGGTGAGTAGAATGTACCGGCCTGCGTAATTATCTGCTCGCGGCTCAGGAAAATCTGGGTGGCACAGATGATGCTTATGAGTTGCTGCCTCAAGACAACGAAACTACAGATCAGATTTACAAGACTACCCGTGTCTTGACAGGTGTCTGGATTTTTCAGACAACGATCTCATCAAACTGGGGAACTTCCCACCATTGAAGAGGTCGGGATCTTGCATTGCGTCGCCACCTGTCAGCGTCGAGCATGAGTGTCCTTCTTGTGCTGAGATTACGCGTTCTGATGCTGATGAACAACAGGCCTTGTGCCGACTGCGTTTGAGACCAGACTTTAGCTGTGATTACGTACATGTTGTCTGCATGTGGCACGAGCAGGATTAGCCGAATTGCGCCGGACTGTGGCTGGCCAGCAAATGATCGATGCTTGCAGAGGGTAGACGTGATGGCGCAGACTTTGGCCGTGCTGTGCCACGTCCGAGGCTTCGATCCGATACCCAATATTGTCAGCCTGGTGCTGACAGGCTGGAGCTTCGGGCTTCTACCCTTTTCTCTTGCGGAATGTGGAACGTCCTCGTACAAGACTCTGGTTGATTGTTGGTCCAGTTCCCAAAGGAGTCCGCTGATGTGTTTGTTGTGCTTGTTTCGACATGAGTGGGCTTTGAAAACGAGCATCGGCCGCTTGTGGGGCTGAAGTATCCAGAATGAACTAAGTGCTCACATTATTTCCTGTCCAGGCAACAAGCTGGAGAAGCAACTTGGCTTCTATGTCGATTACAAATGGCAGGCCTCTACCATCCTGCTTTGCAAGGCTTGTCGACCTGGAGCCCATCACGCAGCTCAAAAACCTGGAGCGTCTTAGCCTCATGGACAACCCAGTCACCAAGGCCACATGCCTGTTTGAGTTCAATAGAGGAGTGCAAGCGTGACCATGGCATTGCAGGTGAAGCACTTTCGGCCGTACATGATCCACAAGAGC